TGGCTCTGGGCCAACAATGAATCCATAAAGGTCAAAGAGGTTAGGGGCTTAAATATTTGAGACTGAAAGAAAGAATTAGATGACTGAGATGTAAGAAGTGGTCGATAGGGAGATAAGTGGAGAGGAAAGGTATCTCTTCACATTCTGACCTGTACTACCAAGTGGCATGGGAATGTGCTGGATTTTCCAACAAAACTTTGGTCACGGCTGAAGACCAAACTTGATTGGTTCTGATGGGGGAGAAGGCATGAGTTTGAGTTCAGAAAAGCACTCTTTTACCCTACCTAATAGGAGTATATTTTCAATAAAGGAGAGGTTGGTTCAATAGACAGCCTGCCCCATAAGTTGGAATACCATGAAGACTACTTTGTAAGGACTCATCAGCTTCTGTAGTTCCATGACTGAGGAAAACGATGATCAGGGACAGAGGAGGAAAGTCTCCTCAAAGACCCAATTATTGAAAGGAAAAGAAAGAGGGAAATAAGGGATTCTCTTATTTCTCAAAGAGAGAAGGTAGGGAGACACGGCAGTTAGAAGCAGCTCCCTACATCCAGTAGTAATTCCCTCTACAAAACATCCTTTTTAGAGAGAAATAAACAGAAAGCAGGAAGAGATGACTAGGACAGCATGTTATTTTGGGCCAGGGGTTATTTTTCCATGTTCTTATTTTTCATGGGCTAGTTATGCCCAAAAGAAGTGGGGAGAATGGATAAATGAAATAAGCAAAAAGCCAACAGTTAGAGAAGGCAGTGCTATATGGAAATCACACTAGGTTGATATTAAGATTTGTTGTTATTGTTGATTTGTTTGAGTGCTGGGCTCTCCGTGATCCCATTTGGGGTTTTCTTTGCAAAGACACTAGATTGGCTTGCCATTTCCTTCTCCAGCTCATGTTCCAGATGAGGAAACTGAGGTAAATGGGGTTAAGTGACTTGCCTAAGGTAACACAGCTAGTAAGTGTCTGAGGCCAGAGCTGAATTCAGGTCCTCCTCACTCCAGGCCTGGTGCTCTATCTGCTGTGTCACCTAGATGTCCCTGATATTAAGAGACCTAGACCCTAGTCGAGCTCTGACACTAACTTCATATATGAACTTGAAAAGGTAACTGTGCCTCTCCAGGCCTCAGGTTCTTTATTTTATTAATAAGGTATGTGGGTTTGATCTGAGTGTTACCTTCCTAATGCTGGGCTGAAATTTTTCATCTTCACGTCCCCAACAAGGAGAATAACGGAATCAGGTGTGGTGCTTGTTAAACTGAATGTCTAAGGTCTTTTACAGCCTGAAGAGTCTAATTTTATGACTCTCTCCCATCCTGGTTTCTCTTCATGGAGGGCTAATACCAATTGGAAAAACAGAATGTTTTCCTCAGACCTATATTTGAGTGGCAGGGGCTGGAATGGGAGTGAATACTCTTTACATACGTAACAATAACTTTATGATGCCCAAATCTGACCACTCCCATTAATGAGATCTTTGACTAAAGTTCTACTATAATGCCCTTTCGTGGAATGGAGAAGATTCTTAGTTTCTGAAGACAATTCCAGTGCAATAAAATTTTTAGTAGGTCCCACACCAAGCTATAAGGACTCTGAATTAAGGGCTGGTAATGGACTATATCTGATCATTAAGCTTAGCTACATTTTTCCAAAGTTTTGGCCTTAATACCTGTGGCAGCTAGGGGGTATAGTGGATCAGGTGCTGGGCCTGGAGTCAGGACAACCTGAGTTCAAATCTGACCTCAGACACTTACTAGCTGTGTGACCCTGGACAAGTCACTTACCTTCTGTTTGCCACAGTTTCCTCAGATGTAAAATGGGGATAATAACTACTACCTCCCAGGGTTGTTGTGAGGATCTAATGAGATATACATGAAGGTCTTAGCATAGTGCCTGGAACATAGAAAGCACTTAAAAGTGTTTATTACCTTCCCCCTGTATCTCAGAAAAGACTGCCTACTAAGATACAGAGGATGTTGTTCAGGATGTCAGTTAACAACTGACAAAATTACAGGCATTTGAAGCATTAAATTTTAGTTTAATGAACTAATAACATGATTATTCCCTCAAGTTTTCACATTTGATAGCCAAAGGAAAAAAGTGCAGAGTTTGGCGGGGAAAAGAGAGAATGGCTGGCTATTCTGGCTGGGTCTGCTAGCCTGACAGCCCCCAGATGGGATCAATTCAGATTAAAGGTCTGATCTGAGATGTGCATGCTCAGGAACTCGATTTTATCAATACCTTCCATGATTAGGCTGGGTAACTGATTCACATTAACTAAATTCATAAGAGATTGATACACACACACACACACACACACACACCCTGCACTGATTTATTTAGATGACAATAACTTCCCAATGGATCCAATGTTCATATTGTTTGGTCAGCATGTTATCTTGTCCATAGAGAAAGCTTCTCAGAAAAGACAAGTTAATAGCTGAGGCTTGCTTAGTGAGTTGATAACTAGGACAAAGGGAGTAAGATGAACTTGGGAGGGATTCAGTCTATAAGCTGTAATGGTTTAATGTACCTTTCTTCGCTATAAGGACACACATTGCCAAGGGATAGACACTCATGTCAGCCAATCAGGAAACCCTAACTTTCTGGTTCTATTTTCTAGACATCACGAAGACCATGACTTTTCTGCTAGAGCATCATTGTCACAGACATGTTATGACGAAACGGAGCAGATCACAGGTTATCTTAAAGCCCTTAGCCACCTTAGACTGGTAGCTGCCAGTCAGAGTCTCTAAAGATAATATTCCAGTCGAAGCCCTTCTGTGGGTGGAGAGGCGGGCATGCTGAACAAGGGCTAGGAAGGGTCCCTTTAGGACCTAACGAAGAATACTTTCTATTTGTGTAGTGCTTTACAGTTTTCAAAGAACTTTCACATACTTTATTATTTCGTCAGCACACTGCTATGAAAAAGGTAGGGCAGGTATGAATACCTTTATTTTATAGATGAAGAAACTGAGGCCCAGAGACATATGATGATAGCAGCCATTTAATAATAGTAGCTCCTTAAGATTTACAAAGCACCTTAAATAATCTCATTTGACCCTCAAAAAAGCCCTCAAATGAGGACCAAAAGGTCTCATTATCCTTATTTTAAAGATGAAGAAATTGAGGGATAAAAAAGTCACACAGTTGGAAAATGGCAATCATGTTTCAAACCCAGGCCTTCTGAATCCATATCCAATCATACAAATAACAAACCCCTAATATAGTTTGGGGCAGCAAGGTGACATAGTGGATAGAGTGTTGGGCCTAGAGTGAGGAAGACTCATCTTCTTGCATTCAAATCTGGCCTCAGACACTTATTAATAACTGTGTGACCCTGGGCAAGTCACTTAAGTCTGCTTGCCTCAGCTTCCTCATCTATAAAATGAGCTGGAGAAGGAAATGGCAAACCACTCCAGGATCTTTGCCAAGAAAATCCCAAATGGGGTCACAAAGAATAGAATAGGCCTATAATAACTGAACAACAACAAATGCAATTTTAGCAAGTTGGATAATTTTAAAATGATTCTCTGCATTTCCTAAAACGAATTTCTTAATGCTCTCTTTCCATAAATATTTACTTGGTACTATCTTTAAATTTACATCTTTAAATGGAAGGAGAAAGTATCAATATATATAAGGACAGAAATTTCCTACTCTTCCTTAAAAAATGTAGTCTGCTGGGACATGTCATGGTTCTGTCAATTGGCTGATGTTCATCAAGGATTAGCAAATTAATAAAATATGCCTATGTTGGCCATTCTTATGCACATTCGACCATTTAAGCAGATTTAGTGGTTGTACACAGAATAAAACAGTATTTGTTGAGTTTAGCATAATATTAATCATGGGTAATAGTGAGTGGACGGTGTGCATCTATATAACACACAGCATAGAGAAAACCAAGGACCTCAACTGGAAAAAACACAAAATGGCAGATATCAGATGGTAACATGTGTCAAACACACTGTACAACTTCCAGAGAATGTTCTCCTTTAAAGTAAGGGTTCTTAACATTTTTGGTGTCAGTCTACTACGGATTCCCTTTCAGATAAATGTCTTTAAATGTGATACGTAGGATTACAAAAGGAAAACAATTATATTGAATTGGTTTTTAAAATACTAAATAAATTTTTTAAAGCTCACGGACCCCATCTTAACTCATTAACTCTTTATAAGAAAAGCTGTCTTACTATGCTTACGCCAACAAATAGATCCCAAGCTAATAGAATCACATCATTTACTATTATTTGTATTGTTTTTGTCCAAAGAACCAAAGTTACACACATACTAATGAACTAGCATAATTTTTCAGGCATAATTTCACTCTTGCTCACAAGTTTTCCATCATGACACAATTATTTTATTGTAAGCACCAGGGCTATTTTGTTTATACACAATTATATATTGTATTTTGAATTGATCACTAAAACAAAAAAAAGGAATTATTACTCAATTTCAATCACAGAAGGATCTGGAAGAATCTACTTATGATAGCATGGTGAAAAGTTAGAAAAAAAGAAATATTTTCCTAGGAAAGACATAAGAGCTCACATTTTTTAAAAAAATGAATGAATGAATAAATAAATGTGCATGTGTATACACACACACACACACACACACACACACACACACACACTTTACAACAACAATCCCGAGGTACAAAAAGTACTCCACCATTTTAGAGATGAGTAAAGTAAATTTCAGGGAAGTTAAGTGACCCGATGTCACAATACCCACACATTTCAGAGTTGAAATTCAATCAAACCAAGGTCTTATACTTGCAGATCCCGCCCCCTTTCTACCATATACACATTACATTTCTGCATTACTGTACAAGAGAATTATAAGGGATTGGGGGGAAGGGAAGAAATTAACATGTAAAAATTAAGTATGTGATGTATGTGATGTGTGAGATGAAGGTTCAAAAAGAAATGGGTTTATTTTTGTAAAATCTCCATAATAATCCTCTTACTAGAAAAAAGAATTATTAAATGCTTACCTTGTTACTACCTAGACTGTATGTTGGAATAAGATCTTGTCGGCTTCCAGAGAGCTGAAAAGATAAAAATAACACCGTAAGTGGCTGCTTTTCTATGAACGTGAATTTAATATTCATTAAAAATGTGGGGCTAATCGAATATTAGAGTTGGAGCAGATAAGAGAGATAATCAGTTTAAACCACCATTTTATATCTGAGGAAAAGGCAAGAAAGCTAAAATATCAAACTCTGAATGAACAAATAAGCAGTAATTAAGCACTTACTGTACACTGAGCTAAATGCTGAGGAAACAAATAGAAAAGAAAAGTAATCCAGCACTCAAGAATGTCACATCTAATGTGGGTAGACAAGATATATTGGACATTTTAGCTACAAATCAGAAGAAAAGGCCCCATGGTCCTTAGGGTTGTAGTGGCAAGACAGACAGTAATGCACCTTTCAATGACTACAATCTTATTGGTCCTAGATATTAAACCATGTGAACCACGTGAAAAGCTGGATACACAGCAAGTAGAAGGGCCAAGATTAGAAGCGGAGTTCAACGGTCTTTACACGCTACATGAAACTGCTCCCACTTATGTACTGGTTGATGGACGATAGAACATGTCCCTCTGACCCTCTGAGGTCAGAAGTGCAAGTATTATTATGCCCATTTTACAGATGAGACAGGTTAAATGCCACAGGTCTTCTAAGTAGCAAAGTTGAGACCTAGACCCAGACCTTCTGACTCCAAATTAAGTGCTCTTTTTGCTACAGCAAAAGATATTGTTCCCAAGGGCACACCAATTAGTAACAGAGCTAGGGTTAATTAGAACCAAGAGTGGCAATGCCCCATCCAGCAACCTTTACATAAGCAGAAGGAATAAGCACTCTCTTCCCTTGCTAAGGCATCTCACGTTCCCTCCCCTCCACATAGTACCTGTTCCCTAAATTAGAGGAAAGGACATTTATGAGCTTACTCGGTTCACATTTGGAGAGCTAATACTCCTCCTATTCAGCTTTCCTTTTCCTGTTAGCTGCTCCTTCACAGCAACTTCCTGTGAATTATAAATACATAATGAGAAAAATTTATGTCAGAAGTACTGCTCAGATGAAGTTTTCCCTTTGGCCCACCACAGATACAAATGCATATAAAATCACCCAAGTAATGCCTCTTACTTTATATGCCCAAAGTATCTAATTACAGTCAACTTTAGACTACTTAGTAATCAATTAAATAGTCTGAGGATTATATAAGCTATGCGCTTCTCTCTTCCACTGTCAGGGTTTTGGCCATTTCACTGACCAGAAAGTGGTCAGGAGAAAAAAGAATCTGAAAGTTACATTTTGTACTTTATTAGTAGTTCCATTAAAAGGCTTGAAACTACTAGCTAAAATGAGGTTTAAAGATTACCTAGAGATTTTATTTGATTCCTCCCTTATTAAACATTTCTAAAAATCTACTTATTTGAGGGACCCTAACTCTGCAAAGGACATTTCTGCTTAGTCAAGATAAGGGCCCTGTTAAAAATTTTGGACATGGTCAGCAAGAGTACTGCCTTTCAAAGAGATTTGAAAACACTTTTCTAACAAGAATAAATGAAATCCTCCTTTCCCACCCCATCCTCTCAGAAGTAATTTTCCCAATCTAACCTATGTTCCAAGAGATTTAGGGGATGACAAGTTGAATTGAATGTATTTAATTCAGCTAAACAATTGCAATTACAATCATGACCCACAAGCAGTTTAAAAAAACAAAACAAAACAAAGCCCAACAACAAGTACTGAGTTAGGCTATTCTATCATCAGACCTGACGAAGACGGTCTAAAGTAAGGAGGTTTTCAACAGCCAAGACACTTCGCAAGTATTTTTCAATATAGGCCTCTGAGTCTGCTGAGGCCGGATTTTCAACATTAGCTGCCATTCTTGCTAACGCTTCTCGTTCCTCTGCTCCCTGAGCATCCTGGAAAATGGAAAATTTTTCTCCATTAAAATTAATAACTCCACCGGAGGAACTATTTTTAAAACTTTTTGGTTTGTACAATAAGAGAAATATAAGCACATATAGAAAGTCCTCAAATTAAGTGGAATTATCTTCCAAGAATATCACTTCTAAGTCAATTACCTGTAACTGGAAATGTATTTTCATAGGGAAAAAAATGTTATAAAATTGGTGTTTAGGTTCCCAGGATAGTCTAGAAAACTTATTCATAATCTGTCATTGAACTGTCATTGTACTGTCCAGGTATAGATTTTATATATATCCATATGAAAATTTCATTGAAGGTCTATATATCTTCAACATTATTATTCTGTTAATTCCTCCCTGTCATTATATAGTATCACATGCTACAAAGCTATATAGAGATTTATGGGAGCCAGCTCAGGGACAACAGTCTCCTCTATGGCAGCTGTGAACCGTGTACACAATCAGCAAAAACCTTGTGTAACCTGTGTCTCCATCACAGAGGATTAAGGGAGCAAAGGAGGATGCTGAGAAATTGAGGGGACTGAAGAAGCAGAAGAGGCAAGAGAAGTGCAATTAAGGAGGCTAGACAGAGAACAGTTAGAAAAGCAGAGAATGGAGGGAGGTAGGTTCATGTTCAATATCCACCCATATCCCAGGCCTCAGGAGCCTGAGGCCCAAAACAAGGCATGCTCTGGAAATGCATCTTCTCCTATTACAGTTGCAGGGAGCACTGGTTCCCATTTCATGGAAACGTCGGTCCTCAACTGTTGAAGGAAAACATTTCTTGCTAAGTTTTCACATGAAGACGTTCCTTTCCTTTCCCTGTCAGTTGGCCATACATACACCAGAGACATTTCTCAGTCTGGTGTTCATAAGTTGGGGAGTACCTATATTTAAGTACCAGCTTGTTTCAAGCAAACTTGGCAAATAATTGTAATGTGGCATTAGTTTCTGAGCAATGTTGAACAACTTTCCCAGAAGAATGAAAATATTTCTTGAGGACAGGGAATGTTTCATTTCTGGCTCTGCATCCTTAGCATGATGACTTGTCTGTTATAAGATAGCTAATACTTATATTAAAAGGAGCTGCACTTCTCAAATTTTAAAACTCTCCTTCTATGCTAAATTTTTCCCCCAATATGTTTATTTATCTTTAGTTCTCAACATTCACTTCCACAAGATTTTGAGTTCCAATTTCTCCCCATCTCTCCCCTCCCAAGACAGCATGCATTCTGAATACCCTTCCCTGATCTGCCCTTCCCTCCTACCACTCCACCCCCTTCTCTTATCCCCTCCCCTTCTACTTTCCTGTAGGGTGAGATAGATTTCTATACCCCATTGTCTGTGTATCTCATTTCCTAGTTGCATGTAAAAACAATTTTTAACATTTGTTTTTAAAACTTTGAGTTCCAAATTCTCTCCCTTTCTCCCTTCCCACCCACCCTCATTGAGAAGGCAAGCAATTCAATATAGGTTATACATGTGCAGTCATGCAAAACACTTCTGTAATAGCTGTGTTGTGAAAGACTAACGATATTTCCCTCCATCCTATCCCATCCCCCCCTCGTTTAGTCTATTCTCTCCTTTCAAAAGTGTTTGCTTTTGATTACCTCCTCCCCCAATTTGTCCTCCCTTCTATCATGCCTCCCTCTCTTATCCCCTTTACCCCAAGATAGATTTCCATACCCAATTGAATGTGTATGTTATTCCCTCCCTAAGCCAAATCCAATGAAAGTAAAGTCCACTCATTTCCTCTCAATTCCCCGATTTCCCTCCACTGTAAAAGCTTTTTCTTGCCTCTTTTATGTGAGAGAATTTATCCCCCCTCTACCTCTCCCTTTCTCCTCCTCCCAGTACATCCCTCTCTCTCTCACACCTTAATTTTATTTTTTAGATATTACACCTTCATATTCAACTCACCCTGTGCCCTCTGTCTACATATATAGATATATATATGAATTTTTTATGATAGCTTCTGCAATGTAGGACTCAACCTTGATTTCCATAGCTTTTTCATGGTGTAGTGATATTTATTTTCTCAGCTGGGTTTTCATTTTAATTTAACAAATAATCATATCTAAATTGTAATTAGAATATAAGTTCTTCTTTGGACTTTTCTCTTTTTTCATCTGCAATATTCTATAATGGGGAAATATTATTGTTTGCCAACTTAGGATTTGGCTACTCATATTTTGTAACAAGCTGAATATTCATAGCTTGCCAGTTAGGACTATGCCATTTATCCTTAAGCAACTTCCCACACAATTCTTTCCTTTGAAAACCATGTCATGTGAAGAGGAATAAAAACAATGTTAAATCAAAGTGAAAAGACAGGGAAGCTTCAAGTGCGGAAAAAACAAAACATGGAAAAATATTAGTAAATATTAAGTTTTCTCAGCCATACCTGAACTCCATATTCTTTACAATGAGTCTTAGGAAGACTCAAAATGATTGTGGCTCAAGAAATCAGCACAAAGATAATCTCAGTTGTTTAAAAATTCATAAATAATCAAGTGAACTGACTGACAATAGCCCAAGAACATCTTTTGAAAAATAAAGACTTCAATGGAAAGGAAGGCTTGGGTTTGAGAGGGCTCACTACATATATCAGTTAGCAGGGCTAAGTAGTTAATTTTAACTAGACAGAAATAGGGGTTCTAAGAAAGAGCTAAATATCACAGTTCTAACATATTACTTAGAAAGCTATTATGAATTATGGAATATCATCTAATTATACAATCTAAGTACCACAAAAGATTTAATGTTACATTTCCAAAAGGCGATCATTAAGAAAATAAATAAAAATTGCTCAAATGTTAAAATGACTTTAATCAACAAACATTTAACACATTTCCTGCAAATTGAATTAAGACTCTTAAAATAAAAAAAGACTTAAAAATCTGAAGTTATATAGCTCTTGAGAACAAAAAAATGATAATTCCTTGCTGACAAACTGTTAATTAAATCTGTGTTCTTCTCCATGAAACGGTGAGAATTTTTTTTTCAAAAGAAATATTTAATTTGATCAAATACCAACAAAGCAATACTCTTAGAAATAGAACTTAACATTTTTCCCCTATGTCTTTTTTTTCTGAGTTCTTTTCTGAATACCTTGCTCTTTTTTTCTCTAAATCAATGGTTCTCAAAGTGTGGTCTAGGAACCCATGTCCCTGAGATCCATTTAGGGCATCTGTGAGGTCAAACAATTTTCATATTATTAGTATGTTTTAACTTCTAACATGATAAATATCAATAGATATAATCCACATAAACAAAAGCTCTTTGAAGAAGTCCTCAATAATTTGAGAATATACCAAGAAGCCCTGAGACCAAAGAGTTTGAGAACTGCAGCTCCATCTACACTATCTCACCTGGGCATCTCATCAGCTCTCATGAGATCAACTGAATTTTCTATGCTGATGATTCTGAGATCTACACATCTAGCCCAAGTCTTTGTCTTGAGGTCTAAGACCACATCAGCAACTGCTTATTGAACATCTCAAACTAGATATCCCAAAGACCTGACAAACTAAAAATGTCTAATATCATTCATCATCTTTCCCTCTAAACCTCTCCTCTTCCAAACGTACCTATTACTGTTCAAGGGTACCACCATCCTGCTAGTCACCCTGGTTCAGAACCTTGGTGCCACACTCGACTCATTCTCACTAACACCACATAGTCAATCAATCATCAAATCTTGTTCCTATCTTCATTATACCTCTCAAAGCTGTCTATTTTTAAAATTTTTTTTTGTTTTGATTTTTTTGTTTGCTTTGGCTAGGCAATGGGGTTAAGTGACTTGCCCAGGGTCATACAGCTAGTAATTGTCAAGTGTCTGAGGTCAAATTTGAACTCAGGTCCTCCTGACTCCAGGGCTGTTGCTCTATCTACCGCACCTAGTTGCCCCTCTATTTTTTTACACTCACCTCACTACCATCCTGGTCTAGGCCCATAACATCTCTCCCCTAGACTACTACAACAACCCCTTATTTAGTTTCCCCATTCTAGTCTGTCTACCATAAAGTGGCCAAAGTGATACTCTTAAAGCACAGGTCTGACTATGGTACCAATCTCCTCCAGACCCAATAAACTCTGCTTATTGTTGTTCAGTCATTTCAGTAGCGTCTGATTTTTCCTGACCTCATTTAGGGTTTTCTCGGCAAAGATACTGGAGTGGTTGCTATTTTACAGCTGATTTTACAGATGAGGAAACTGAGGCAAACAGGGTCAAGTGACTTTCCCAGGTCACACAGCTAGTATGTGTCAGAGGCCAGATTTGAACTCAGGAAGATGAGTCTTTCTGGCTCCAAGCCCAGAGCTCTATCCAGTGCATCACCTAGCTGCCCCAATAAACTCCAAGGGATCCCAATTACTTCTAGAATCAAATATAAGCACCTTTGTATGGCATTTAAAAATTTCCTAACAATAATATCCTTTTCAGTCTTCTTATTCTCAATTCTCCTCCACAGACTCCATGATCCAGTAGTCCTGCCCCACTTGTTCTTCCTGACACGTCATGCTCCATTCCCATACTAGCCGTCCTCCCTTTTTAAATGTTCTCCACCCCCACCCCCCACTCACCTCTTGGAATCTCTGGCTTCCTTCCAGATATCATTTCCAAATTCCAAATATCATTTTCTCCAGGATCCTCTTCCTGGTCCCTCTCCCATCCAGACCCCCAACTATCAATGTTTTCCTCTCTAATGTTACCTTCCAACAATACTGTATGTGTCTTGTAGGTCCCTAATTATATTATATTGACCTCCCCACTGGTACAGAAGCTCCTTGAGAGCAGACTTTTTTTCACTTTTTTTTCCTTCAGCACTTAGCATAGTAAGTATTTGCTTGACACACAGTAAGTAGTTAATTGATATTGACTGATTTCTCTTAGATATCCTAAAATGTTTTTCCTCTAAATATGTTTTCTCCCCATACTTTCTTGAAACTATGATTTTGTGATTTTATTACTATTTACTATGACTTTCTTTAAATATATGGTAAATTTATACTTTATATGATTACTTACCTCTGGAATATTGGAGACAATTTCAAAGGTGACTCCACAACCAGGAATGGAACTTCGATGAGACATCTTTTTTAAGAGACTTTGAGCAAAACCCTATCAGGAAATAAAACAGGAGGTACATATTTTCCCTACCTGACCAAATTGTAGTTATATTCCTTAGTCATACAATGTAAAGAATGGAATGAATACACATGAAATATAAATCATCATATTACTTTATTTCCCCAGCAGGATCTAGTCTATCATTTCTTTTCTTTTATTTTCTTTTATTCATTCATTCATTCATTTATTTATTTTATTTATGAGGCTATCATGTCTAATAGCATCTGTATGAAATGAAAGTAAAGGCTCTATCCTAGGCACTAACACATGAGGTAACTAATTGACTTATAAGATGAAGAGTATTGCTACAGCAAAATAACCTCCTAAGCAAAATTCAAGTGAGGGCTTGTAATCTTACACTTTCCTTTGCTTTCTGGTTTTCGCCTCCAGCACGATGGACATCTTACGCCATGAATATTGACAAGAGCAGTCATTAAATTCTTGACCAAAGTAGAATCAGTATGAAAAATGATTTACGAATGCATGGTCATTGTTTATGCTGACTGTGCTCTTTGCACAGTTAAGAACTGAACTGTTGAATTAATGCATAGATGACTCATTTGAAAATACTGCTAGTAGCATATATCCTAAAGAGGTTAAAGAGATCAAGCATGAGGGTAGAATATAGTTAAAATAAATAACTCTAAACATGAGACAAAAATAGAGATAAAGATAAAAATGAAAGCATATTTAACTAACACTGATGACTTGGTGTGGGTGAGGGGAGAGAAGGAAGAGAAAAAACAGACATGAAATGACCCCACTGGAGCAACATTTCTAAGAGAAGTATGAAACTGTCAGGCTTAATAATACACTAGGACATAAACCTATTGACCAAAACCTTTCTCCTTCCTCAGTTAATTACATTTTTTTTAAAACGTATCAGTTTCTCTAAGTACAAAGATAGCATTTCAGGGCTTCATTTTCTTGAACAGGATTAGTGTTAGTTAGACCACTACCACTAAACACACAAACAGCTCTAGAGTTTTCCATTCTATTAAAAAGCTACTGCCATCTTTGTTTCTTCTAATCTCTACTTAAATGGAATCCAAGACGCCTATCTGTACCAGAACCATAAAGAAGGGCTCATCTTGCTCCAAATTACCATTCATTCTATTTCCAGAATTGGGAAACAGCATGCCCAAAGCACCTCTGGGTGAAAAGAACTAGAGGGAAAATGCAGGAATCCCTATTAGCCCTCCTACCCAACAGGAGTGAAGGCCTGGGATCCCCATAACAATCTATTCTGCAACCAGTTTCCGGTAATGGTACTGATGTGTGGGGCAGCTGGGCTAGATATATCAGTTTCTGGTGCCTCGGGCCTCTAGGACTGAAACAGAAACTGGATCTTTTTAAAGCAGTCCCTCTCAGGCTCATAAGGAAGGAGAGACAGAGCGGGCAAATGGGTGGTACAACATATATAGCTACAACTAACCCTACGACCTGGATTTTATTGATGCTGGATTGCCAAGCTAAAGAGCGGCGATTTTAATAGCATTACAGCCAGTCTTCATTTCAAAGATTGATATCAGTGTGACATTTAGAACTAAAGATTAATTTTTAGGGGTGGAGATTACATCTGGTGGTCTGTCAGCCATGACTGTGCTCTTTTAAATGAATTATTATTTTTTTTAATATGTCTGGGGTTTAGTTTCCTTTTGTTCCTTAAAAATCTTTAAAAAAAAAAAAAGTGCAGAAGGAGTATAAAAGCTCTAAGACCAATCTTGGAAATGCAGTCCTCTGGCAAGCCAGGTACACGAAGAGTTTTAAATACTTAAATCTTTTCTTCTTTTTCCCCAGCAGAGATAACAATGGGAAAGGAAGAAGCATAATAACCGAGTAGAAATGAGTTACCCTTTAGTGGGCCTTTTAGCTCGTGGTACCCCAGGCAAAATAAGGGCCTCTAGCTTTCCTCTCACAGAAACTCTATGGCACAAAAAAAAGAGATTCACCTCTGCTATGAGCCAGCCAGCAGACCAGAGCCAGTAAAATAAATCTACAAGTGTTTAGCAAAAAGGGAGGATAACATGGTGGTGGAATAGAGACAAGAACAGCCATAGTCAACTTGCTGTGTCACCAGTCCTCTGTGGAGAGGAATCCAGGGGATTTATTCCATGTGTCTTGTCCTATAGCTATTCTTTTGATTCAAGTCACATCTCCACCTGGAGCTAAAGACTCACCTGGCGGCCATGAACACTGACACAAATGCGTTTACGGAGCACCAGCTGCATTTCAGCAGGATGGCTGAGCTGGACCGTCACTCTTACAATCAGAAACACTCTTTCATCAGCTGTGGCCCCTTTACTAAGCTGAGGACAGTTATGTACTGCAGAGTCCCAGGAGGCTTCTGCTCGTGCCTAGAGAGAACAAAGAGAAAAAAATATTTTTCCTCTTCTGAATGAAAAAATTACACATGAAATCTCTAAGGGAACTCCATTCATCTTGTAAAACAACAACATGTAAGCACATGTGCCTGCCTAACTTTATCCTTTTTCTTAAATTTCACACACACACACACACACACACACACACACACACTCACTCTCTCTCTCTTCTCCAATAAGCAGTGTAGGTTGGTGGAAGTGAGGAGGCATGTAGTTAAAGTTGGGAAAGGGGCCTGGGCCTGAATTTGCCCCTGGATCACATCCACTCTGTACACATTACTCAGTCCTTTAGCTTCTAGTGACTGACTAAACAGCTTGGGAATGGGGAATCCATCTGATTGCTGGTACAAATTTCCTGCCATCCCAAGAAACTTAGTGAAGGGAAATTTAAAGCTCTGCTAACAGTCATCTGATAATCACCAATATACACCAGAAATCTGTGGAATATCACATAGGAAAATAGTAACCTGGTTTGCTGGAACTACTATGATTTAAAAACCTAATTAATCCAGATACACAGTCACTTCCACATTATTTGCCTCTAAATTATCTGCATACATAACTGTTCATGTGCCCTAAAAAGTCTTCCTCAGTGCACCATGGCAAAGTACAGAGTGCTGGACTTGGTGTCAGGAAGATTTTGATGTAAATCCCAACTGTGATACTGATTAGCTCCATCCGTGGACAAATCTCTTCCCTGAGCTTCAGCCTCATTATCTGTAAAATGGGGACAGTAATGCCTACACCACCTTGCTTAAAGACTCATTATAAGGATCAGACTTTTAGACTGTACCTAAAGCACCTTGTATAAAGCATTTTAAGTTTTTCAATGACAAATATTATCAGGTCACCCACCTGGACCACCCACCTAGGCCCAAGACAGCAGCTGGGTATCCTGTCAGGGTCCTTCTTGAAGGGTATACTAATACCACCCCTTGCCATGGCACCACAGTGACTGGGCTGGAGCTCTAACCGAGCTATGCAGCATAGGAGCGAGGCCACAAGAAATTCTGCCCTAACAGAGTGCTTTCTGGGGCAGGATTTCCTTCCACTCAGTTTAATAAGTTATACGCTGAATCCCTACCCCTACTATCGGATGTAAGAACACAGCCTGGGAAGCAAACAGCTTCATGTTTCCTATGTCGGGGACCCTGTCTCCCACTTAGGTAAGGTTTTGTATGGGTGAACAGTATACTGTCCTAATTCCCATGGGAGCAGGGCTATGCCCCTGACCAAGCTCAGTAGATCATTTGCTGATTTCAATTACTGACACTCACTCCCCCTTCACTGGTGCAGAAAATCAAGAGTTGACTAAATTTAATTTGATGGTCAAGCTCTATTCTTTCTACAGTCTCTAAAGAGGAGCTTTCAACTACACATTTTGAGAGCACTGGCATATGTTCATCTTGCTGGTTCCCTTAGGAGCCTCATGGAAAGGTTAATGAAATGAAACTACTCCTCATTTGACCTTCCTGTGTCTTTTTTTTTTTTTTACCTCTCCTTCATGATGTTTTACAATCTGTAGTTCAAAAAACTCTTCCTCTTCTTCACCAGTGAGAGTGGCATCCCATCCTGCAGGTTCTGGGTCATCAAGATTATCCTGGGAGCTGAAATCATCAGCTAAAACAAAGAACCACCATTAAGTACAGAAATCAGCCAAAAGGATAACACTTGTTTCAGCTAAAAATCAATGCAATTAATCCATATTCGTCTGCTTTAATTTTCCTTCATTCTCTGCTCTAACATCCTGCATCTCAGATACAGTGAGGATCTCAAGAGATTATCTGGTCCAGCCTCCTGCCTTCAGGCAGGTGAAATATTATTCCTTTTCAAAGATTAAGCGGGCAACGGAGACCCACAGAGGTCAGGCACCTAAGGTTAGTACCCTTAACTGTTGCACTTGAGTTCTCAATTTGAGGAAATGTATAGAAGGAAAAGGGATGGGAGGAGAGTGGCACCTCATCTGCTAGTTTAGTCCTACACAGCAGCCAACTAGGCAAATGGGCTTGGGATCACAGTTCCCCTAATGCTAATAAAGTATATAGCCTGAATCTCTAGAACCAAGGGAAAGCCTTTGATTATTCTAACAGTGGAGGAGAGAAGCCTTGGAAGGATTTTTGATAGCCTGTATTCACCTTGAACTGTCTTTCTGGACCTATAGAAGTACAACAATCTAGGGTTTTCAGGGCAAGATGAAATAGCTCTGGTCATATCGCAGGTTTTCTGTGCTAAAATGGGTTTTACTGGTCCATGGTTACCCCTTCTTTATTTTCTTCCTTTGGAGAAGCTTACCACTTCCCACCCTTGTGGGGAAAAACCTAGTCTAAGAATCAAGATAAATTCATCCTTAGAAGCCCACAACGCTACTAAATTCCCACAGTGCAAGCTGCAAAGATAAATCTTCCTCAAATTAAGCCAAACTGAAGGGAGATTTTGCTAAATACTTTTCTCCCCTTCTATTTTAGGGGTGGTCTGTGGTGCTAAAGTTGCTTTGTCATGGGGATTTTGAGCTCTTTGGGGAAAAAAATACCAAGAATGACCAAATTGCTCTGATCTACATAGCTAAGAACACAGTACAAAGTCTTTCCAAAATGTACTTTTGGGGGGGGCTGCTACTTTAGTTTAACAGCTGATCTTAAAAATATTTTCAACTTCTCAAAAGTTCTATCCCACTTTTTATTTTACTGAAATATTAAAAAAAATCACCTTTACTTTGGGTAAAAACAGCATATTTCAAACAAGAAATTATAGTGCTTGGTAAACAGCATAACAACTCACAGGAATAATGTGAAGACTAATTAGTTAATGCTCATAGAGTAGTGTGAAAAGGAAAAGTGCCATGTAAATGCAGATGGTTAGTAGCCCTTTTGAAGTGAGAAGACAAATAGAGAAACTCTTTTTCAAATCTCTATTCTAAAGTGTTAAACAGGGAAAGATTCTGAGAGCATAACCCACATCACACCATCAGCTGACAAGGGAGCAGGATACACATCACTGGGAGTTGTAGCAGATGGAAATATGAGAAGAGGGCACAGGGGAAACAACAGAAGAATTTTTCTATGCCAACAACCACATTACTGTTTATAAAAAAAAATCTTCCTTTCTTGAACATAAGGATACTTGCTGTGCCTTTGACTGCTTCTCTCCTAATGATTATTGCATTACATAATTTTGTGTTTTGTGAGTTAACTGTCAAATGCAACAACATGAAGTGGAAACAGTCAAGAGACTTGGTTTGAATACTGCCATGGACAACTGCTAGGTCTGTGACCATTTATATAACCTCTCTGAATCTCAGTTTCATCATCTGCAAAATGATAATAATAGTATCCCATAGTAATGAAAACGTCCACTTGGAGTTGTGAGGGTCAAATGAGACAGCAAACGTAAAGTGTTTCTATAAATCTTAAAGCTATTGTTAGTAGGCATACTACATGAACACCTCATTACCCCATGAAAAACAGACCCTCGAGAACACCAAACTTACCACTCAAGTCAAGAAATATAACAGGAATATGAGTTTCCATACCAAGCACCGGAGTCCTAGGACATAAGAGAAGGTGGCATTTAAAATGAAGCCAATTTAATGAGCAGCGTGTCCTTCAGGACACAGACCTAGAAAACATCCAGTGCTATAGCGGGTCAGGTCAGAGGTCACCTTGAGTATTGGTTTTTACTATAATTTACGGTTACCGATGCTGCAAGGACCTCAGGGGAACTGCTTCTTCCTTTTAACCAGCTCATGCCTATGTAAGAGGACCTGCTCTTATAAGAAACATGTGTCTTCTTATAATAAGACCCCTTTCCTTTGCTCATTCTTTTGCACAAATTCAGAGAGACTTCCATATGGTTTAATTTAACTGTTTTTTACCATTTCTTAAAGGACACAGAGTATCTGCTGATTCAACAGCTTTCCTCAAACCAGAAGCTCCCAGAGACATAATTTTATTATGACCAAGCAGGCTTTTAAGTGAATGAACCCAGTAATTAACATATTAACTAATTTTTTTAAAGCTGAGTGGTACTAAATATTGATTCACATTCTCAGAAGGTCTTAATTACCCTGGTCAATAATAGCTTTATTTAATAAAAACATTTTTAGGTTATAGTTATTCAACCTATGACAATCAGTCACAGTCTCAGAATTTAAACAACATATACTTGTCCTGTGACTTTGCCATGAGAGAAGGCAGCGGCAGAAATCCCATATGAAGAAGGAGAGAATAGTTAACATTCCAGATTTTGAGGGGCACATTGCTCTGTTCTTACCATTCTGCTGGAGCACCAGGGATACCACTGCCAGCAGATGGGACCATGACGGCATTCCTTTCCTCAGTTAGAGTCAACCTCATTTCTAGAAGCTGAGCTTCCCTGTCAGCGTCGTCTTCTGTTTTGTCTGTGGTATCAGAAGAGAACACCAAAGAGACAATCTCACAGGCCACTTTCATTTGAGGCACTATACCGTTCTGCTGCAGTCCTGGCCCAGGCACAAACCATACCCCCCTTTACAAGCGAGCTAGCCCCATGCTGGCAGTCAAGATAAACATGAGAAGCTCAAATATGCCCTCTCAGAGAGGACTTCTCCAGCTCATGGAAGGTTTGCAAGTTGGAGAAGCAAAACAAGACAGATGTCTCTCCATAATTATGGCACTTTTCTAGAGGTGCTTCAGGGGAAAATCCGCTTTTGAACCGATGTATTCCTAACCAGAAAGGTGATTTTTTTTTTTTAGGCCTTATATTGAAAAAGAAGCAACTGATATTAGGTGGAGTGTCCCTTTGTGAGAAGATATGGTACAAAGAAAACAAGGGTAGCCCTGGCTTGTTCCAAGTCATTTCATTTATCTGGGTCTTGATTTGCACAGCTCCAAGTGGGAATGACACATTCACTGAGAAAAGTATGACAAATGACGCTTTTCTTACCAGGCTTACTGACAAGCTTTTGGAGTTGTTGGTCCAAGTATTCTTGACGTTTGGTTAACGTGTTCAGCCACTTTCGACGCAGTCTCTCCAAATCCCTATCCTGAAAACACAAGGCAAATCAGAGTGAACACAATTCCAGGTTAAGATTTTCTAGCCAAAGCTAGTTTATTTTCCCCATGGCAGAATGTACTGAAAACGTGTCCCCTTGTATGGCGGTCTAGTCCTTATCCCCACCAGTGAGTCATAGAACATTAGAGCTGGAAGGTGTTGTCTCATTTCAAGGCTTCATTTACAGATGAGGGAGATGTCTAGGCACAGAGAAACACAGGAAGTTTTGGTCAGAGAGACCATAACCCTCATTTTCTGATTCTGAGTCCTAAATTCTTTGTACTCTACCATACTCCCTGCCCTGTTCCCAGTCCAAATCTTTTTTCAGCATTAGTCATACCAAAGCATCTTAGAAGTTATAGTATTAAAAGAGATGCCATCCTTTGGGACTATGATCTGTTGTCTTTCTAACAACTCAAGAGATGGGGCTTCAAGCTTTTTAGAATGTTCAAAATCTACAAACATCTTTTGTCCTTAATGACATTTCAGAATGTCTTTTACCAAATGAATTCATTATTTTGGATAATTTTCTTTAAAACTACCACAAACCACATATGTTGTGCCTTGTTAGGTTGTGATTCCTGAGAAGTACTGAAATCAGATACTCACTTTTCAGGCACATTGCAGAAAAGATGACTATCCTGGATAGGAGGTTGAATTTGGCCACACTGAATAACTTACATTTCTAGGAATTTCCATTCTAGGAATGTCTCACTGGTTTTAGCCACTTTATTCTACAATCCGTAACATAGTAAATCACTATTTGAGTTGAATGAGAATAGCCTACCAAAAACAATTTGCTACTTAATATCAGCTACGTCTTGACCAATCTTGAAGGTAAAAGATGCCAATCTGAAAAGTAGTTAGGCAATTTTTTTGAAGCACTAAATAATTGTTCCACTTCAAGTGAAATTACATTTTTCAGCATTATGATCTCTGTGGAGGGATAAAGAATTATATTCACCTAAGGATCTAATTATTTTTCCTGCCTTATAGGTATACATAACTGGATAGAAAAAGTTTGCTAATCTTAGAAATAATCAAATCTATAAAATAGTGATTTATAAAATCTAATGTTAGACAATTTTCATGTTAGAGGAACTAATAATAACTATCATACTAAAATGTACTTTTTCTGAAAGATAATATAAATTTTCAGTAAGCTTACCCAAAGCAATAGTCTTAGAAATGTGACGATGGAAGAAAGGATAAGATAATATAATACATGCTGGCTAATATGACATTCTCTTGACCATGGAGATCTCAAATAATAAAGCACATTTATACTTTGCCAACACAACTACAGTAAATTCAAAATTATCATATTAAAAGTAAACAAGAGAGAAATCATTAAGAGACTTATTAAGGTTGAACTGTTTACATTCCTGCATGGAAAGATGATATTTGTAACTCATGAGACCTTTGTCAGTATTAGGGTAGTTGGAGGGAAAAAATTATATGTATGTAGATAGATAGATAGATGGATAGATAGATAGATAGATTAGATAGATAGATAGATAGATAGATAGATAGATAGATAGATAGATAGATAGAGGGCACAGGGTGAGTTGAAGATGAAGGGGTGATATCTGGAGAATAAAATTAAGGGGCGAGAGAGGATTATACTGGGAGAAGGAGAAAGGAAGAGGCAGAATGGGGTAAATTATCTCACATAAAACAGACAAGAAAAGGCTTTTACAGTGGAGGGGAAATGGGGGAAGGTGAGAGGGAATGAGTGAATCTTATTCTCATAGGATTTAGCTTAAAGAGGGAATAACATACACACTCAATTGGGTATGGAAATCTATCTTACCCTACAGGAAAACAGGTGGTGAAGGAGAAAAGAGAGCAGGGGGATGATAGAGGGAGAGCAGATTGGGGGAGGGGGTAATCAGAAGCAAACATTTCTAAGGAGGGACAGGGTCAAAAGAGAGAATAGAATAAATGGGGGGCAGGATAGGATTAAGGGAAATATTGGAAGTGTTTTGCATAACTACACATATATAACCTGTATCGAGTTGCTTGCCTTTTCAATGAGGGTGCGTGAGGAGGGAGGAAGGGAGAAAATTTGGAACCCAAAGTCTTAAAAACACATGTTAAAAAATTGTTTTCACATGCAACTGGGAAATAAGAAATACAGGAAATGGGGTATAGAAATCTATCCTGCCCTACAGGGAAATAGAAGGGGAAGGGGATAAGAGAAGGGGGGGAGAGATATAAGGGAAGTCAGATTAGGGGAAGGGGTATTCAGAATGCATGCCATCTTGAGGTAGGGGGAGGAACTAGATATGGAGAAAATTTGTAACTCAAAATATTGTGGAAGTGAATGTTGAAAACTAACTAAAAAATATAAATTAAAAAAAAGTTAACAAGGTCATGAAAATACCTTTTTAATTATCAAATATTAAAATATACTTAATCTGAATATAAAGTATATCTTATCATATTGTAATTCTAGTAATCCATGGACAGTAACTATTGTGAAACTAACACTTGATTAACTAGAACACTTCATTGCTCAGTCATACCATAAAAGTTTATAGTATGCTGAATATCATCCATGATTCTCCATATACCCTCCCTATAACAATGTTTAGTCTGTATATAGCTGTTTGGATGTTGTCTCCACCCACTAGACTGTGAGCTCCTTGAGGGCAGGCACTGCTTTCCTTTTCGTTGCATCCCCATACTTAGCACAGTGCCTGGCATTTATCAAGCACTTCATAAAATGTTGATAGTGTTTAGAGAAGCAAAACAATCCCTTCTTTCATCCATGTCATTTTATTGTTTTGATTTCAGCAAGTTAGAGATGCTCCAAATGTCACTGATTTACAAATTTGATTATAAGATTAGCAAAAATGTAAAATAATTATTCATTTATTCCACAAATGGAAGATACCTATTATATGCAAAACACTAATTCTCAGGCTGTACCTACTACTGCTAGAGCTAACGTTTGTAGAGTAACCACAATAATTTATAGAACGCTTTAAAATGTATACAGGCCTTTGCTCATAAGCAAGCCCTCTGTGAGGAAGGCAGCAGAAGTATATTCCAGTTTTAAAGATGAAGAAACAGAGACTCAGATATTATGTGGCATGGTTAGGATTTCCAAGGGAAGTGGACCAGGATGCAATCCTAGGTCTCCTGATGCCAGCGGCCTCTCGGCTTTACCAGGCTGATTCCATCATTTAGATGTATCTCTGCTATCAAAGATGCTACAGGGCAACAACATCCTTCTTGATGAGAATTTTCATGACCAACGTTAGAAACAACATAAGAGGACAGGGATACATTCTAGGGTGTCAGTTTTTTTTAGGAGAAAATCATTCTAAGAAAAATGGTGTTAAACATTAAAGAGATAATGTAGATTTTATATTTCCTGGTGCATTTGGTAACTTGGAGTCTAGGGACAGAGGGAGATGATGATTAGCGGACCAGGGTTTTAGTCCGAGTTGAAACTAATTAACAGTAGAAGACAGCCAAATCAACGCTCAAGCAGGGAAGAGAGTAAAGCTCTTTCCTGACAAAAGGGGATTTGCCAGAAGACTTATGATTTTGGGAAAGTAGGAGGAACTAAGTCATGAAGTAATGGAAGACTATGACAGCTAGTCCTCTCCTTGCTAAAATAGCAAGGAGCTTTAGGAAATACAGTTGTTGATCTCCTTTCCCATTACGTTAAAAGTACTAAATTGGGTTTACTTTTGGAGCCATTTTTTTAGTTTAGTGCCACCTGCTCTCAATGATCAATTATGATTCCAGAGGACCAGTGAAGCATGCTACCCACATTCTGGTAAAGAGGTGGCAGAATAAATATGCTTAATGGGACACACATTTTTGGCTATGGCTAATATTTTGCTTGACTATGCATATCTGTTACAAGGTTTTTTCTTTTTTGGGGGGGGGGGGAAGGGGGAAGAAGAAGGAAAGAGAGAAAATAAATGCTTTTTAATTGAAAAAAAATTAATTTGAAACAATTAAAAAACCCAAATATATTCTCCCTCCCCACCCCTATCCCATCTGCTAGGGCCTGAGACATCTTTAATAGGATAAAAAGCTGCTGAGTCCAAAAAAGAGATAAAATACCAAAAATACAAATGCATCCTGAATTAACTCATTATTTGATCCAGTAAGTTCATGTGTGCATAGTTGTCTTTATACAGCTTCGAATACTGTACAATTGAGTACTTAATAACAATACATTTCGATAATAAAAATGGTGAGTAAAAAGTTTACCTGGTAGCTGTCCATGTCGTCTTCTTCCTCCTAAAAAGAAAAAAAGAAATAAAAAAAAAATCAATACCTCAAATCTGCCTTATCTATAAAAGAATGGCCTCATTATTTATGGCCTATGGGGACCATGTGGATTAAAAAGCTGAGTTATTCAATAAAGGTATAGAAAAGATGAGTACACTAGTTTTTACTCCTCTTAAAGCACGTCCTGTCAAATTGGTTTTGCAAGCCTATCTTTTAGCTGAAATGCACTGGCCAAATTCAGTCAAATTGAGAACAGTTATAAATGAAAAGAGACAAAAAAAATCAAAATGTGTTTTATAACCATATGTTGTGAATTTATGCACAAACCATAAAGGTAAAAGTTTTGAAAGTTTTAAAAAGCCTGCATGTCTTACAATTTATTCCATCTTTAAAAGCACTTCTTATTTCAGACACCTCCCACCCACTCACCTGAATAGTAAGCAGAGTGAGAAGCTAACTCCCCTGGGCCCAAATGGAACAAGGAAGGCTGGAGAGCTGGGGAACAGTAAGAAGGTTCTAGTGCTGATTGTGGTTCTAAAGTGTCCATGTCACTGCTTTCCCAGCATATTCCCATAGTTATCAAGGGAACTGTAACAGCCCCTTTTCAACCATTATAGGGCCTTAGTCTGCTCTGACACAGGCTCCCTCATTTGTTTTGACATCTTAGGCAGGCAAGTGACTGATTAAGGATAAGCTATCACCCAATTTCCACTTTGTCATCAAAAATGTAAACTCGGGCACACTTCATGTAGTGTTGCTCTAACATCAGGTCATAACTTTCTCTTTCACTGATTTGATTCTGAATCTTTTCACATATTTTATCTTCCTTTAAAGTTAAGATAATGAATTTTCTAATTTGATTAATTTACTTTCCTCTTTGGCCCTTAAGGATTTTTTGTTTCCTAAAGCTCTGAATTAAATGTCTGAGCTTCTAACGAGAAGGTAAGGAACACTTATCAGGCTTTCTCCAGGAACCTGTATGGTATTTTCCCTACTGGGTTTATATCCTCACTCACTAGAGGAAATTAAGTGCCTACTGGCAATTAGTTTGAATAATCCAGTAGGAGGTAGATGCACTGGGTTGGGGAGATCTGACAAGACTAATCACTATTAGAAACTAGGGCTTCTGGCTGCTGAAATGTTTTAACTCTCATCTTGCCATCATTCCTGGCAGGTACCTATAATCTAGCAAACTGATTTCATCAAAATGCTACAAACTAAAAAGACATTTAAGAAAAATAAGACGATACACTGACAGAACCATCCTCAGAAGTTAAGTTTTCTAGGATGTTCTAGTGATGACTCTGACTGTATTTTTTGACTATTTTTCCAGTGAGAACATTAAAACACAATGGCACTTACATGGAAAATCTCATGAGTCTTTGGGGATCGAAGAGGTCTTATTTTTACACATCCTACACCAACAGACATTATAGATTCTTCCATTAGTGGCAAAGTTCCAGACTCCTGCACAGACTTCACTTCAACCTGAATTCGTCGTGACTGCCCCTATGTCAGAGACAATTTAAAAATCAAGGATCTTAAATCATCAAAAGACTTAGTATGGAGAGACCTCTACAGGTAGAAGCTCACAAGACTGCTGGCTTGGGATCACTGAACATTTCAAAAAGTAAAAACTAAACCCTTAAAAAATGAGGATGTAGCAAGGACAATCAATGAGGAAATGCAACACACTTCAGGAGTAAGTTCTTAGTACACAGTGCTAATACTGTAAGATCTGTGCATATTTTCCAAGAAACAGGATCTTAAAAGAAAACATTACAAATTATACTCTTCAAAATTAGTTTATAATTTTAGAAACCTCAAAATAGAAATGAGAAGAAAGCATATGAATCTATAGTTACATGTAAGCTGGCCTCCTCCCTCTCCAACAGTCTTTAGTTGCCTAGGGCTTTGTCTTATCATGAAAATCAAGTTGGGCACTCATTGATCCTACCAAGCTTGATTTGGACAGATGGGATACAGATGACTCTTGATTTAATATTTATCCATGCATATTATATCAAATGTTCTGCTAAAAACTAAGAAAATAAAATTTGATAATGTCCTCACATAGTTTGGTTTAGTTCATGTTCAAAGAGCTATAATAGTGTTTTATTGTTGGGGTTTCGGGGCAGGGGGCTGGGGTGGGGGGGGAAGTTTGGCCAAACAAAAAAACCTGACCTACCACAAGAGATTAAACTACATGTTAACTAAAAAAATGGGAGGTTGTGTTAGTCTTCTTCCCTACATTGCACATAAAATGATAGAGTTCAGACCCTAATATAGAATCTATATGATAAACTTAAAAATTCAATTCCCAAACTGGGCAAAACTGCATTTACCAAAACTAAAAATTCTCAATTTGAAAACCCTCTAAACAACATCAGGCAAAGCCCAAATTAGCTACTAAGTGCTATGAATGTGATGTGAATTCTACTAAATAATTGTCCAGCTCTAGTCCCTAAACTTCTAGATCTAAATTGCTCTGTTCAGTTTTTTAAAAGCCCTTCCCGACTTTACCCCACCTTCTCTTTGGTCTCAGCGAACGTTACTTCTCTCCCTGCACCCTGGAATGGCTTCCTTATGCTCACAAACAATATTCCACCTGAGATCTCAGCATCTCTGACCTGGCTGTGCCTGCCTTCCCCACCTGCAATGCATGTCCCCCTCACCTGGGCCTCACTCACAGCAGGCCTCTAGGTTCCTTCTACTCTCCTGCCCTTCCCGTTCCTCCTGCAAGTGTTAGTGCTCTCCCTGACAAAGAATCTTGTAGTTAAATGCTCTATCATATTTGTATTTATCCACTTTGTATTGATTCTGTATATGCTTACAGATGTACTTATCTCCCTCACAAGGATATAAGATCCTTTCAAGTAGAGACCATTTCATTCATTCAATTTGTCCAGGCACAGGAGGACACAGCTATCAGTCAGGAAGTTAATTTAAAGGTTAGGTATTTCTCATAACTAATATTCTAATAACCAAACTGAAGCCACTGTCTCCGATCTTCTTCTGATGCAACCAATTCTATATGGTAACCAGAACAATTCTTTTAAACAAAGTTTCGTTATCCCACTCTCCAGTAAAAAAGCTGAAATAGCATTCAGTGCCCTCCAAAGGGGCCCACACATACCCCTCTGACTCAACCCCTTCAGTTAATGTCCAGCTCTTTCTATTTGCTCCCCTGCACGCACAGCCTCTATTCTTAAGTTTTCTCTGCCCTTCTCTGCTTACCTTCAACGCATGATTTTTCACCACTTATTTAAGAACTAACCATTAAATCAACCAGCAGTGACTCTCAGAGCTAGAGATGATCCATTCTATTGCTCACCTTTAGGGATCTACATTTAATGCTCCCAGGACAGACAACTGAGGCCTCTCTCCCAGAAGACCTTTAATTCTTTAGCATTTCCGGGCCTATATTCCTTCATCAAAATAAGGGAGTTTAACTAGATTTAACTAGATTTCTTACAGTTCTAAAGCTCTAGCATTCTAGGGTCTCTCATAGTATTCAAATTCTACCTTATGTCCGAGGCAAACACCTTTTGCTTCAATTAAAACCCATTATCTCCTGCTTAGGTTTCTGAGGGCACACAAAAAGTCACTCCCTCAGCATCTTTCCTCACACAAACCATTTATATGCATCGAGGTGCTCGTTTCTTCCCTTTAATCTTTTTTTCTTAAGATGTATTTTCTATTTATTGAAACGTTTTCATCTCTACTTCTGCAGATCCACTCTAATTTCTCGATGTGGTTACCAGAAGACAATAAAATATTCTAATAAAAATCTCACTAATGCGTATGTGACAGACAGCTTATTTCCTAACCTTATACGCGTACTGCTTTTAATAGCATCCTGTGCCTCCCCTCCCCACATGGCAATAATCTACTACAGATTCATTTTTCCCAGTTATTTTTCCACTACAGCATTTTGCCCCTGTTGATACTCTATTTGTTAGTTATTTACTCTAGGGAATTATGCGATAATCTCCTTGAAGGCAAGGAAGATATGTTATTTCTCATTATACCTTTTCAGTAAATAGCATATAACTTTTCAACAAATGGTGGTAAACAGAAGCTCCTATGACCTCTATAGAAAACTTAATGAAAGAGGATTGGGCAGACATCAACTAAAAAGAAAAGCCTTAGTCAAATTGAAACATTAAACTGTAAGTTCCTTAAGGACAAAGAATGTCTTTTGCTTTTTTTTTGCTATCCCTAGTGCTTAGCACAGTGTTTGGCATATAGTAGGGGCTTAAAACATATTTACTGATTGACTTTCTTTTTCAAATTTTTCATCTAAATAACACTAATCAAATCAGTTTAAAGGAGACAAAATCTGAAAGAGATCTTTGCTTCGGCAAAAAATAAATAAATAAATAACATTTCTGTTGTTCTGGTTCCAATCCCCTTACCTGCCGTAGCTGGAAAATACCTCCTGTCTGTACATCTTTTGCAGGAATCACTTCCACTGGGCAGTATTCCCCATTTTCATTCTGTTCCAGAATTTGAACCCAGAATTCTACTTTTCTGGTGACTTCACTCCACCTAGTAAACATTTAAGAGCTTTAAAATCAGATTTTCCAGTTTACGAAATGTTTATTTAAGCAGATGAATAAAGTCATATTACCCTCTAAAAGAAAAACCTACACTCACCCATATAATATCCATATTATCAAAAAATAATGATTCTTTAAAACAAAGTTATATAGACATTACACTTAAGCATGGAAATTAGCAAAAATTCCATAGGGCATACAATTTGGTACGTCTGGCTTTTTGAAGAATGCTGCATAGAAGCCAATACCATGTAATGGAAAAAGTACTGAATTTGGCATCACAGAATTTGAGTTTTAATCTTACCTCTGCTATTTACTACTATAAGTGCTCTTGGGGCAATCAATGTCACAAGGAATCAATATAATAGTCTTTAAAAAGAAGAAGTCAGAGCTCTAAGGTCTTATCTGAAACTAAATACTAGAATTCCAAGATTAAGAGTTTACAACTGAAACTGGACACTTTTAAAGTTCTCACAAAATGTAGATGAGTAACTTTATGGTTTAAGAGTTTAACTATTCTTTCAGTGAAGAAGTTATTGATGATATTTACTAATTAGTAGTAGGGTCCACACACTCAAGTAAAGGAAGATATTTTCACAGCTGAACTCATTTTAAGTCTACTTGGAAATAGCTCCAAAATAATTAATACCTCAGCAAAAAAGGATTCCTGAATTGGTAACAAATTGATGTAAAAGTGTCATTTTTAAAAAGTTTAAACTTGTTCTTTAAGCTATTTTTCAGGGAGACAGAACAACTACATCTATTTCAATAGTCACTCAAAAATCTTAAATACCTTAAATTAGAGTGGATATAAGATTCGGTGGGACAAGCAACATATTAAACTAAAGTCCTTTATGGTTAGACAATTTGACCAAAGTCATCAAGTCAACAACCCTGGATCCATCCTTGGCTTCTCCCTCCACATCAATCCCTACATGCAACAGAGTGTCAACATGTCTCCCCTTCATCCCCTTTTCTCAAGGTATGCTGTCTATTCAGTTCAGGTCATCACTGCTCTCTTGGACTATTTGCAACAGCCTCCTAAAAGACCTTCCTGCCTCTAGTCTTTACCCGTTCCAACTATCCTCTACACAGCTATCAAAATGATATCCTACACAGACCAGACTAGGTCTCCTACAGAACAAAAAATTTTAGTGGCTCCCTTTTGCCTCTAGGATAAGATACAAATTTTTCAGGCTGGCATTTAAATTTCTCTACAATCTTCCTCCCACCTACCTTTCCAGTTTTATTTCATCTTATTCACTGCACAAGATCTCTGTCCCAATCAACTGTTCTGTTAGCTTGTCCCTGTACACAACACTCTATTTACCATCTCTGTACCTCTTGTATACAAGTAATATTCCATGTCTGAAATGCATTTCCACTTTACAGAATCCCGAGCTTCCTTAAAAGCACAGCACATGCTTGTGCATGATGACTTTCTTGATAATGCTAGTTATTAGTACTCTGTCCCTCTTCAAATTACTTTTTATTGTTTTCTTGTGGCCATATCATATTCCCAGTAGAATATAAATCCCCTGAGGTAAAGAAATTTGGGGGTTTTGTCTCTGTATCCTCAGTGCCTACCTAACACATTGTCTTACATATAATTGGTGCTTAGTAATAATTGTTGGCTGAATTGGAAATTGAATTAAGAGTCAGAAACAAATCTCTATGGTAACTTCTAGTTTATACTCACAAAAACATACCTCCTTAAATTCCCAAACAAAATTTGTTGCTCAAAACTGAATTTACTTAACTATAATGAGATATATAGAAGCATAAATTTCTTTGGATACCTTCTTATAATTATGACAGCATTCTGATCAACAATCAACTCTAACTCCCTTCACACAGGTTACTTGAATACATGAGAGTAAGAGGTATTCAAATAAAGCTCAATTAGTTAACATGAAACCAAATGCAGAAGTTGCACTGCTCTCTTAAGAGGCTGTTAATTACAAAACAATTCCCAGTAAGTTCCCTAGCCAACCTTAAACCATTAGCCACTCCATCTGAAACACCTGCTCACTGAACTTTTTTGGTAATTGTTCTTTCAAGCATATTTCCTTTAGGAAGATTAATCTTCCGGAGAGGATCTTAATCATGACTTAAAATGGATCCCGTTTTTCTGAATATTCCATCTTTCTACAACATCTTAATTACATGGCTTTCGCACTAGTTCTATTTCAAATGATGGGGTACACTAATGATTCCTCAATGACTGACAGTCATCAGAAATAGCACTACTGGCCCTTCAAGGGGAACTTAAATAATGTCTTGTGGTTTTTTTACAATGGAATCAGATATCTGAAAATCACCTATCCCGGAGACTCCGTGTTTTGGCTTGGATAATTCCCAAATCCCAAAGAGCTGGGTTTTTTCGAGGATCAGTCATCTTGTGGCCATATACTTCAATTGCCAAAGCCCCTTCAGAAAGATATTCAATAAAATCTTCAGAGATGTTGACAGAAAACTCCTACACAGAACAGAAAAGGTTGGTTAATGAAAACGAAGCTTTGTTCTCTTCCCAAAAACCCTATCATTGCTCATGCCTCATCTATAATGCATTCTTTAGTATGGAGTATAATAACAGAAAAATATGTCAGGTGTGTTACCGTTATAATAGCAAGACTAGACAGTCAAGAGCTATTCCCAGATGGCCTCAAAATCCTGACATTAAAAAATATGTGTACATGCATTACACACCCACACCCACACACACTATACCTTTTCAACCACAAAACCTGGGTGCTAAACAGATTTGAACCACATCTAATATTTATTCTGCATGTAGCTGCTCTTTTAAAGTGGCGTAAGAAAATAAGTATAATTATAAAGACAAAACATGGCAAGAATAAGCCAAGAGACTCTGAATATGAGTTGACAATGTGTTGGTTCCAGTTATAAGGAATAATTCATCCTAATGACGGAAGCAAACACACAGAATTCCCAAAATCACAGAAAAGTGCTGAACCCCTAACTTCCAGCTCTAAGCACAAAACAGAGAAATGAGTTCTACTTAAGGTATCCCATCAATATATCAATGAGCAAGTGATCTTATCAGTGAGGATCAATCACTAATGCTAATTGGAACTCACCTGCCATATGATAAGTAAGTGTTAAAGAGCTGCCTTGGGATCACAGAAGTTAAGGAATGTGCTAGAACTAATGAATGTCAAAGGTAGGACTTGAACAGTAGGACCTCCATTCTATTGACTGTGCTGTGGTGTCTAAGATAAGGCATAAGAGAGCAGTTTTCAAACTTGTTAGTCTCAGGACCCCTTACCACTCATAAAAATTAGTGAGGTAGGAATCTCCCCAAAAGTTTTGTATATGTGGGTTATATTTATTGATACTTACTGTACTATAAATTAAGATATCTTTTTAGTATTATTATGAAAATAGTTTTGACTTCATGGAACCACTCAAAAGGTCTTGGGGATTCTCAGAGGTCCCCAGACCACACTTTGAGAACTGCTAGCATGAAGTATTTAAAGAAGTAAAAATTTCTTAATAATAAAGTGTGCTAAATGCAAAATGGGTAAATAAAGAAAGTGGTGCAATTTCTCTTTTGGGAGGCCTTTTACCATATGCTGGTGCCAAATTATTTCTAAGAAGTCAAGGTTGTAAACACACACACACACACACACACACACACACACACACAGATACATACATACATATAAACACTGCATGTCTGTTAGTAGTCTTAACATCAAGCAATTCTGAAAAATAAAAATTACATTGCAGTGATCAAAGACCACCATGCACTGAGGCTCTTTGCTGATAGGAGAAGATGAGGTATCTACTTCAGGTGCAACAATGACCGGTTCCTGCTGATCCCAGAAGTTGTATTTGCAGAACACAAAATTGGAGAGATGTTGTGGCAAACCTGTAGCTTGAAGTATTTTAACCTGCAGGAAAAAGAATTTTTCAAAATCAGTAAAGTCAAGGCAAAAAGCATGGCAAGAAAATACAGAACTTAAGTATTACAAGAGTTTTCCTCTAGTCAAGTTGTAGCACTGTGGTATAATGGTAAAAGGAATGAAGAAACCTGGGTTTTAGTTGATGATATATTACTGATCAGCTGTTACTCCGCCTAGAGTGAGTAATTTAACCTGTGAACATCAAGGTCAAAAAAATGAAATCACCTCCTGACCATACCTATGCCTTAGGATTTTTGTAAAGATGAAATTGAAAAAGTGAAGTGCTACATAATGTATATTAATATTTTAAAATATAAATTTTTAAATTTGTTTTTCAGTGGAACAGAGGTGACAAATGTTAGCATACATGCATATGTATATGTATGTGTGTGTGTGCACATACGTGAGTATAAACAAACCTACAGAAGTATATACACACAAACTACACTATAGTGTAGTCAGAAGCCAGACTGTAAGTATTGGGTCTGATCACAGTAATTATGTTTTAAGAATGAAATTGAGAAAAACTGGATGTGTACAACATGATTGAAGGAAAGATAATAAGAGGCCTGAAAACCACGCAGTAAGATGATCAGTGGAAGGAACTAGAGATGTCTAACCTGGAGAAGACAAGAAATTAGCAAGAACAGAATTGCGTGCTAGTATTAGGAGGATATGCACGGGAAAGAAAGGTTGTTCTACCTTCCCACAGAAGATAAACCTATTAGAAGTAGGGAAAAGTTACAGAGAGGCCAATGTAAGTCAATACTAAGAGAGAAATTTCTAACAACTGGAGCTATCAAAAAGTTAGAATGGGCTGTCTCAGGAAAAACTGCGCCTCCTCTCTGCTCCCATCCTCCCCCCATAACCATGAGACATGTTCAGGTAAAATAAAGGTTTTAAATGAGGGGTCCATGGACTTGGACAGGAAAACCAGTTACATTCTTATTTGCACTAACTTCTAACTGATACTTAACATTTCCTTCAACTATTTAAAAACATTTTTTCTAAGAAGGGTTGCACAGGCTTCACCAGACTGCCAAGGGGATCCATATCACAAAATTGGTTAAGAATTTTTGAGGGAGAAGATGGATGACCTCTTACAGGAAATGCTATAAGAAGCTATTCTATTCAAATCTAGCTAAGTCTGGAGATCCTCTCCAAACTCTGAGATTTATAAATATTAAAAGTTTTATGAGAAAGAAATAATGACGTAGGGCATCATATAAGCAGCATTATTTAAAAGTTTTCACTTTGGATGAATTTTTTTCAGTGCTTCTCTGATGGTAACATAGCCTAAAGAAACAAGGTTTAAATATGTAGGCTGAATCTAAGGATTTCCCACAGAAAGTTGTATCTGCACCTAATGTGGGAGTCATAAGAGTTTTTAGTAATTATTAATTCTTTTTAAAAAATTAATATTTTATTTTTCCAAATTATATGTAAAAACAATTTAACATTCATTTTTGATCATTTTGAATTCCAAATTCTTTCCTAACCTCTCTCCCCTATTCCATCATTGAGAAGGCAAGCAATTTGATAAAAGTTATACATATGCAGTCATGCAAACATTTCCATATTAGTCATGAAAGAAAAAACAGGAAAAAAAAATGAAGAAAGTTAAAAACAAAAACAAAAACCAGCATGCTTCGAACCGCATTCAGGTTCCACCAATTCTTTCTCTGGATTGGTATCACATTTTTCACCATAGGTCCTTCAGAGTTGTCTTGGATCTTTGTATTGCTGGGAATAGCTAAGTCATTCATAGTGGATCATTATTCAATATTGTTGTTAGTTACTGTGTACAATGTTCTGCTCACTTCACTTTGCATCAGTTCATATATGTCTTCCCAAGTTTTTCTGAAAGTATCCTGCTTGTCATTTCTTATAGCACAATAGCAGTCCATCACAATCATATGCCATAACTTGTTCAGGCATTCCCCAATTGATGGGTATCCCCTCAATTTCCAATTCTTGGCCACCACAAAAAGAGCTGCTGTAAATATTTTTGTACATTATAGGTCCTTTTCATTTCTTTAAAAATCTCTTTGGGATACAAACCTAGTAGTGGTATTGCTAGGTCAAAGGGTATATACAGTTTTATAGCCTGTTGGGCATAGTTCCAAATTGATCTCCAGAATGGTAGGATCAATTCACAACTCCACCAGCAGTTCATTAGTATCCTAATTTTCACAGCCCTCCAACACTTGTTATTTTCCTTTTCTATATTAGCCAATCTGATAGGTGTGAGGTAGTACCTCAGAGTTGTTTTAAACTCCATTTCTCTAATCAACAGTGATTTAGAGCATTTTTTCATATAATTACAAATAGTTTGATTTCTTCATCTGAAAACTGCCTGTTCATATCCTTTGACTATCAACTGGGAAGTGACGTATATTTTAAAAATTTGACTCAGTTCTCTATCTATTTGAGAGATTAGGCCTTTATCAGAGAAACTTAATGTGAAAAAAAATTATCCCTAGTTTTCTGCTTTCCTTCTAAAATTGGCTTCATTGGTTTTGTTTTTACAAAATCTTTTTAATTTAATGTAATAAAAATTATCCATTTTATATCCTGTATTGCTCTCTATCTCTTGTTTTGTAATAAACTCTTCCATTATCCACAGATCTGACAGGTAAACTATTCCATGCTCTCCTAATTTGCTTATGGTATCACCCTTTATGTCTAACTCATGTACCCATTTTAACCTTATCTTGGTATATGGTATGAGGTGTTAGTCTATACCTAGTTTCTGCCAAGCTGCTTTGCAATTTTCCTAGCAGTTTTTGTCAAATGGTAAGTTCTTGTCCCAAAAGTCTGGAACTTTGCATTTATCAAACACAAGATTACTCTAGTCATTTCCTACTGTGTATTGTGTACCTAATCTATTCCACTGATATGTTTATTGATTCTTTGCACAACTGCTAACTTTGGAAGGAAAATTATTGGTTTTCCCATTAATTGTTTACAAAGATTTGCTATGTTTAGTACAGTGAACTGTTCGGCAATATTGCATGGACAAAACCTTTCTATGGAAATACATTTCCAATTTTAAAATTATGTCTGTGAGAAAAACTTCCTTTATATTTAATTTTATAAGACAATATCCAACTTGCAAAATCAGGAATACTTAGAGAATATTTTATCCTTAAATCTTTAGGTGCAGTTATAAAAGTCACCAAAAGGTGTCATGATAGCACAGAACTTTCTGTAGGCCCTGCTTACAAGGGAAAATTCACTAAGATTTACTCTGCAAATCTTTTTAAATTGCATATTAAGAAATCAGATCAATGTCCCATAACGGACCTGCAATCCCCATCCACTATATCTCTCTTTTCCCCTTTTCATTTATATATATATAAAGGCTGTGAAATCCACTCATACAGGATATAATGCCACTGTTCAATGGCAAAGACGGCATTTCCCAAATGCTATAATACTGCCCTCGTGTTTATTTTCACTCTGGGAGTCAAAGCTGATTTTTCTACAATATTCTATCCACAAACTGCTAGTTCCAAGGATATTTCTAGATTGACTAAACAACATTAAGACACACCTTCTAAAGATCAATGACAGAAAGGGCTATTTCATTTGTGACTAGGTACCCCCTTAGCACAGTGCTCTGCATGTAGTAGGGTCCACCTGAAGCAGCCAAAAGAAGCCACGTCAAGGACTAAAGGATTGAAGGAGGTACCACTGCCATGATTCACTATGATGAAACCCTTCAGCCAGGCTAAGCACTCAGACAATCCTTCCCTCAGAATGTCTGAATCTGTTTGCACTGGCTTAGTTGTACCTGTTTCTCCATCTCCAGAAAAACACTATCTGTTCACTTGTGCAATTCTTCTTGTCTTTCCCCAGGCCCAATCCTTACCCATACCAGGGATATTTCAGCATTTATCACCAGGGTGCAAGGATAAGCCTATTAATGGAAGGGAAAAAAAAGGTTCCCTTAAATTGACTAACTCCTCTCCATTCATTCAACAATTATTTAGTGACTGCCTACAACATACACACACAGAATGAGAGCCATATTTGCACTTGGGGCAAGTCCCAAGAACCACACCAAGGGCAGGCAACACAGTGATCCACAGGATGCCACAAGGCCACTGCTACAGAGGCTGCCCTTGCACACATACATAATAACTAACAGAACCAGGATTTAAAACCAGATCTTCTGAATCCAAGTCCAGCACTCTTTCCTCTCTATTTAACCACCTCATTACACTAGCCAAACCCCTGGGGAAAGATCAGCTATGGATTGATGTGCCTAAAAAGCCTTTTTTTTGGGGGGGGGGGGGCAGAGGGATTGGGTGTAGGGAAGGTGTAAGGTGTTCCTATATGAATTTAATAACCACTTTGGAGTGACAGTCCTTTATTTTACTGGAGGCTTCTGTTCCACTGTTGATTTTCATTCTGGGTCCTCCTGCCTAACTGCTAGGTTTCTAGCATCAGGTAGGTTTGAAGACAAAATTTCAGAGAACAGGAAAGACTTCTGATGAAAGGGTCTATCACAAAGTGCACCCCATTTCCCCCTGCTTCTCTCCCCAGCCACCCCAAGAGGACGTGAGGACTAGTCATGAAGCAGAAACAGAAGAGCTTCCCAATCCATCCCTGCTCCCCAGGACCCCTGCTCCCCATGAAGGCTCCTTGCTCATCATTGCCTACAAAGAGGGTCCTGGCTTGCTGCACTTCCATGCTCACACCCAAGAGATAATTAAGCTGCTCCTAGAGCAGGCTCCTGCCTCCCCTCTTTCACCTTTCTGTTCTGCCTGACCAGAACTGACCCGTGCCCAAACTCTAAGCTCTGGCCCTGCCATATTCCTTAAACTCAAAAAGCCTTCTGAAAGCAGTACTTTAATTTTCCGACCCTAGGGGGAAAAAAATGTGTTGGTTTTTTTTTTTTTTGCCCAATCTTAGGTTGCCCCAGAGGGTAGCTAGGTGACACAATGGATAGAGTGCCAGGCCTGGAGTCAGGAATACTCATCTTCCTGAGTTCAAATCCAGCTTCAGAAACTTACCATGTGACCCTGGGCAAGTCACTTAACCCTGTTTGCTTCAGTTCCTCATCTATAAAATGAGCTGGAATAGGAAATGGTAAACCATTCCACTATTTGTGCCAAGAAGGACCTCAAATGGGATCACAGAGAGTCGGACACAACAGAAAAGACTAAATAATAAGTTGCCCCACAAGGTACCAGTCCTTACCTCCCAGCAGCTTTAGCTTCCTCAACTCTGATGGAGATCAGAAGTCCAAGTAATTAAGTTCAACAAACTATTACTGAATAATAAGGGTAAAGTAGTCTGGTATATGGAGCTCAGAATCAGAAGAACTGGGTTCAAATCCTAGACCTGCTCCTAAATGACCTTGAGCAAAAGTAACTTAACCCCTCTTGTCCTCAGTTTATACAAAATGAGAAGGTTGGACTAAATGCTGTCTAAATTCCCTTTCGGTTCTGAATCCCATAGTGCCTGTGCAAATCTCCCACTTCTCACCGCCAGCATAACCACCACCCATAATCTTTTATCCAAGCTCCCAAATATCTGTCAAAGTTAGCTTTATCTGACAGTTTAAGGTATCATGACCTTTCAATGGCATATGTATTTTAATAGAGGATACAAAAAAAACCAAAAAGCTTTCTAGTCCCCAAGGAATGAAGCCCTTGTGCTGGGATTTAGGGCACCAGTGAAATATGGTGGGGACATGGCGATCTTGCCTGGTGTGCCTTAAATCCAATAACATAGGTGGCCATTTATTCTGCTTTCATTCTCATCTAAGACAGAATAGTACGAACATCAAGATGCAAAAAGGAAAAAGCATTGCATATACAGAGAATGGTGAGCATACAGGCTGAGCCAAGTACACAAAAGACAGGTCTGGGCTGATACTCATCTATTTTCCTTTACTCAGAGAAGCAGTAAGACAAATCCCAATCTATATGATGCATATGTCAAAACCTAAATTTTATTTTTTATATTAAAAAATTGGTTCAGTTTATACCCTAGATTGATATAATATGTGATAAAAGAATGTCTTTAAAATTACTATATGGGGGGCAGCTGTGAATAGAGCAGCGGCCCTAGATTCAGGAGGCTCTGAGCTCAAATCCAGCCTCAGACACATAACACTTAGTAGCTGTGTGACCCTGGGCAAGTCACTTAACCCCACTGCCTAACTAAAAAAAAATAAATAAAATAAAATTACTATATGGTTTTTTGAGACGGCTCTCTGTACCAAATAATTTACCATCAATTACAGTACCATAAGGAAAAAAAACAACACAAGATTTTCATCTTCTCCCATCTCAACATCCCTACAATGAACCACAGTGGTTTTAAAAAAAGTTCTCCTCATACCTATCCAGTGTTTTGGGTAAATAAAATAAAACTCAGATTTACCATGCACACTAGTTTGTGGTCCTGTGTGTCCTTATCAAATGAAAAATCCACACTGTCGTCCCCACCTGCGATTCGTTCTCCAATAGCACCGCTGATCTGCACCACTTCTACATGAAGCCGACCTGCCACCTGAGGAAGTGAGAAGGAAAAGGAAAGCAATGTCTCTTTTTTTCCTCTGAAAAAGAATGTCAGCTTTAGATTCCACTGCTCGGGGCAGTAAAAACAAGGAGGCTGTAGCTATGGCTCTGGACCTCTACTATGCCACTAAACAAGTCTCTAATTTTCTTTACAAAGCAGTTGTGATTATCCAAGGCTTGCAATGTTTGCCAAATACCAGTATGGCTGCCCATCATCAATCCTTCAAGGTTCAGTAATCTGTAAAGTGTGGGGACTCTCTCCAACAACACGGATCACAATGCTTTCCTTTACAACAGAGTAGATGCTCTTTAGGAGCTGCTGTGTAATGTATTTATATACCGTGTGGCCAAGTTGGTGATGAGGCTCCCTGATTCAGCTAATTCAGTCCACTGATACCTGGCATACACCAAGTATGTTGCCAGGCCTGCACTCCAAGTACTTCCAACTTGATAGGACCTTATAGAAAATACACTCTACTAGTAGAAAAGTTAAGGACACAGGGTCACCTCCCCCCATGATGAGGCACTAGAGTAGTACATTAGCAAAGGCTATCACAATAATTTTTATTAATAAAACTACCTATTATTTCTTCAATTTTACTTGCCAGACACAAGAACTTAAGAGTGATCACATTAACAATGTTCGTATGCTGGCACAGTGGAGCTATGAGCACTGAATACTACTCCAGTTATGAGTTGCTTTTTTTTTTTTAAACTTTTTTTTTTGAGTTGCTTTTTACTTGCTCACTTTGTAACCGAGCAAAGAAAACACTATACACGATGACAACAACAATGTAAATGAAAACAACCACCACAAACCAATTGAAAGTGAATATTGCAAAATGACAAAAAACAATTTGGCCTCAAAGAAGACACCTGAAAAGAAATCCTTGCCAGTCCAATCCTTTGTAATGGTGGGAAGGCCACAGGCATGGGCCCCTGCATATATTTTCAGATTTTTATACATACATACATATAGATAGATAGATAGATATATTGATTGGTTTTGCTGATTGTTTATCTTCTTCCTCTTTTTCTTAAAAAAATTATAAATATGTGTATATATGTGTGTGTACATACACACAGAGAAAGAGAGAGACAGGAGGGAAAACAGCTCTCTTGGCGGTGAGATGAGAAAGAATACAGGGGATAATTTAGGCAATGTAAATGCAAATGTTATCACTAAAAATTTCTTTAAAAAAACAAAACAAAACAAGTGTACAGTCCATTACTAGAACAATAAAAAATACAACCAACCTCTCCTTTTTGGTTGATGATTGGCACAGCATATTGTAACTTCACATCATAAAAAAGAGAGCTGAGGAAAACATTGGCCACACCAATAAGACTATGGTTCTCTTGTTCATCATAGAATGGATCAGCTCGCTTGAAGTAAGACCTTGTTACCTTTAATGAAATTCAGAACATAAGAGCTTCAGAAAGTTACTTAGAAGACATGAATTCAGATTAGCGCTTTTCTCTTGACCTATCCCAATATGAGCCAATAAATGAACATGTAAAAGGGACCGAACCCTTCATTTTTACTGCAACCTCACAGAATACTAGTGTTGGAAGGGACCTCAAAGGTCCCACAAGAGGGTGTGCTGCTACACCTGGTTTAGAAATCACTGTAAATCCTTTCATTTACTTGAGGTAAATAGGGTCATTATAACTCTTTTAGAATAGCTTTTGCATAGCCTTTAGAGGAACACTTATTCTACTGCTAACCATAACAGAAACTCATCTAAGAGGAAAAAGGAAAATTATATCAAAGAGGAAAAATTATATATTTCCTTCTTATAAAACCAGTGAAAATAATACCCTTGGTGGTTATAGTGGGAGACATATATCAGAAATATATTTTCTTCCAATGGTTCCAAGAGGTAGTGTGGAACCACGTAGATCTGAAATTAGAATATGAGCTTGGATTCCTATCTCTGACACTTACTCGCATGTGACTATCATGAAGAAGGCATTTAAACCCCTCTGAACCTGCTTAAGATGGAGATAACAGTATTTACATTGCCAACCTCACAGTGTCATTAAGAGAACATTTTGTAAAACATAAGGTGCTATCTAAATGGGAGCTAATATAATTCTGTGAACCAGAACCCTCATTCAGTACAAATACATTTCCATTCACATTCATAATAAAACTGAAATCTCTTAAAAAGCATAGAAGTGGGGGCGGAGCCAAGATGGTAGAGGGAAAGCAGTGACTGTCTTGAGCTCTCTCCCAAAGCCCTCCAAATACCTAAAAAAAATGGCTCTAAACAAATTCTAAAGCAGCAGAACCCACAAAAAGACAGAGTGAAACAAATTTCCAGCCAAAGACAGCCTAGATGGTTGATCAGAAGGGTATATTGCGCCGGGTGGCAGGGAGAGGAGCGCAGTGTGGCGTGGGTGCAGCGACCCTGGAGCAGGCCTAAGAGGGCTGAATCATGGGCAGCTGTGGTGGTTTCCAGACTTCTCAACCCATGAACGCCAAAAACAACTTAGAAGGTCAGTGGGAAAAGTCTGTGTCTGCTGTGAGAGAAGGAGCTAGGTCTCAGCCTCAAGTCTCGAGCGTGGCTTCTGGGGCCACGGCTGTTTCCTGAGCTTCCAGCCCCCAGACTGAGGGGGAATCAAGTGGCTGATCAGAGGGGGATTGCAGGGATCTCTTTGCCAGTGCTGAGGCAGGAATCTCTTGCTTTGCCTGTGCTTGGATTTGGGTCACAGTTCTGAGGGACTGTCCTGGGGTGAGGAGGAATGCTGGTGTGGTGGAGCTTCTTGTGGTGGTGGAGAGGAAACACCTTGCCCCTTATCATACCACCTTGGAAGAACTGAAAATTTACAGGTCCCTAGAAGTACCTCTGAAAACAGCTGTACAAACCCCCAAAGCTTGGGACAGTACACTCGTCACATTGGAAGCAGACTTTTACCTTAACAAAGAGTTTAAAACTCAAGTAATTGGCCAGGATCATGAGTAAGCTGCCCAAAAAGAGTCAGACTACATTATCTTACTTTGGTGACAAAGAAGATCAAAACATACAACCAGAAGAAGACAACAAAGTCAAAGCTCCTACATCCAAAGCCTCCAAGAAAAATATGAATCAGTCCCAGGCTTTGGAAGAGCTCAAAAGGGATTTTTAGAAGCAAGTAAGAGAAGTAGAGGAAAAACTGAAAGTGATGCAAGAAAATCATGTCAACAGCTTGCTAAAGGAGACCCAAAAAAATACTGACGAAAATAACACCTTAAAAAATAGCCTAACCCAAATGGCAAAAGAGGTTCAAAAAACCAATGAAGAGAAGAATGCCCTAAGAAGCAAAATTAGCCAAATGGAAAAGGAAGTCCAAAAGATTACTGAAGAAAATACTTCCTTAAAAATTAGAATAGAGCAATTGGAAGCTAGTGACTTTATGAGAAATCAAGACACTGTAGAACAAATCCAAAAGAATGAAAAATTAGAAAATAATGTGAAATATCTCATTGGAAAAACAACTGACCTGGAAAATAGATCCAGGAGAGAGAAGTTAAAAACTATTGGACTATCTGAAAGCCATGATCAAAAAAAGAGCCTAGACATCATCTTTTAAGAAATTATCAAGGAAAACTGTCCTGATATTTTAGAACCAGAGGGCAAAATAGAAATTGAAAGAAGCCACCAATCACCTCCTGAAAGACATCCCCAAAGGAAAACTTCTAGGAATATTGTAGCCAAATTCCAGAGTTCCCAGGTCAAGGAGAAAATATTACAAGCAGCCACAGAGAAACAATTCAAGTATTGTGGAAACACAATCAGGATAACACAAGATTTAGCTGCTTCTACATTAAGGGACCGCAGGGCATGGAATATAATATTCCAGAGGGCAAAGGAGATAGGATTACAACCAAGAATCACCTACCCAGCAAAACTGAGTATAATCCTGCAGGGGAAAAAATGGTCATTCAGTGAAATAGGGGACTTTCAAGCATTCCTGATGAAAAGACCAGAGTTGAATAGAAAATTTGATTTTCACATACAAGACTCAAGTAGAACATGAAGAGGTAAACAGGAAAGAGAAAATCATAAGAGACTTATTAAGGTTGAACTGTTTACATTCCTACATGGAAAGATGATATTTGTAACTCATGAGACCTTTGTCAGTGTTAGGGTAGTTGGAGGGGAAAAAATTATATGTACGTATGTATAGATATAGATAGATAGATAGAGGGCACAGGGTGAGTTGAAAATGAAGGGGTCATATCTAGAGAATAAAATTAAGGGGTAAAAGAGGAATATACCAGGAGAAGGAGAAAGGGGGAGGTGGAACAGGGTAAATTATCCCACAAAAAAAAGAAAAGAAAAGAAAAGGCTCTTACAGTGGAGGGGAAATGGGGGAAGGTAAGAGGGAATGAGTGATTCTTATTCTCATAGGATTTGACTTAAGGAGAAAATAACATACATACTCAATTGGGTATGGAAATCTGTCTTACCCTACAGGAAAATAAGGGGGGAAGGGGACAAGAGAGGAGGGGAATGATAGAGAGGACAGCAGATTGGGAAAGGGAGTAATCAGAAGCAAATACTTCTGAGGAGGGACAGGGTCAAAAGAAAGAATAGAATAAATGGGTGGGCGGGATAGGATTAAGGGAAATAGAGTTAGTTTTTCACAGCATGTCTACTATGGAAATGTTTTACATAACTGCACATATATAACCTATATTTAGTTGCTTGCCTTATCAATGAGGGTGGGTGGGGAGGGAGGAAGGGAGAAAATTTGGAACCCAAAGTTTTAAAAACACATGTTTAAAAAAAAATGTTTTCACATGCAATTGGGAAATAAGAAATACAGGAAATGGGGTACAGAAATCCATCCTGCCCTAAAAGAAAGTTGAAGGGGAAGGGGATAAGAGAAGGGGGGGAAAGACAGAAGGGAAGGCAGACTAGGGGAAAGGGTATGTAGAATGCATGCCATCTTGGGGTGGGGGGAAGGCGAGATGGGGTGAAAATTTGGAACTCAAAATCTTGTGGAAATAAATGTTGAAAACAAAAAAAGAAAGAAAAAAAAGCATAGAAGTTATGTCCATTTAATAACTTATCACTTAATTTTTGTTTTGAGATGGCAAAATGAATTGCAAATGAACCCTGGATTGTATCCCAATACTATCTCTTTATGAGTATAACAACATGGAGCAAAATGACTGGACTCCTTAGAAAATGACCACAGAACAGATAAAGACACAGATGTGAAATGCAAGGTAAATAAATCTTCACTGCATTTGGAATCTTTTTTATTTTTTTTTATTTTGATTAATTTTTTTATTTTCCAACAATCACTTGAAATTGTTTCTAGTGATAGGGAAATCTCAGTCTAAGAGGCTTGAGTGATCAAATGGGAGGCAAAATACTTTTGGAAATCAGTTAAACATGCTCTGAATCAGGAGAATCAAGGAATGGTAGAAAACTGATTTTTTTAAAAAGAATTTTTGGTTACCTAAACACTAGAGAAATCTCCAAGTAATTTTGACACTATGAACTGGAGTGGGCTTAAAGATTTTTACTGCAAAATTGGTTTCCTAATTTCTGTGTGGTCCTTATATGCAACACCAATTTAGGTATTATACACTGATTACTACTTACTGGGCTGTCCTCATCACATTCCTTCCACTCCTGATAAAGGTCCCGCATGTCCAACAATCTGTTGTCCAGTTTCTCCAAGGACCATATCTGTTTGCCTTTTCCTTTTCTCCTCACCTGGATCGCAGGTTCACTGAGAAGCGAGCCTCGCTGCAAAAACATAGGGAGTTACTGGAAGAGGTGTTAAAGAGATTTACAATGTAAAGTAAAGCAAAAGTAACTCTGAATGTACACTTGCCAAACAAAATGTAACAAGCTGCTAATATAGCCGTACTCTAGGAACAACTCACATTTATACAGTAGTTCAGGTTTTGCCAAAAAACAAACAAACAAAAAAAAAACCACAACCTTTTAATATAAATACACCAAGTTAGATATGTCACAAAACATCGAGCATTTTCAATGAATTGAATTTTTATGGCTCTGTAACTAGATTGATAAAATTCATTAAGGAGAGCTAGGAAAAATTATTTGGTGGTAGCTTGAAAAATACAAAGGCAGATTGCAAAAATTTCCCATAGAGTGTGACCAGGTACACGGAAGTGAGTAGCATTACAAAGCAAGGAAGAGACAGTATCTTCAGCTTTAACTCTGGACTAAGTGGAGTTTTTTGACTGGTCTGACATACCTCTAGGGAATTTCAGAGTACTGTGAAATGAACACATGCCTACACTGCTATCTTGTGTACAGTCATTACTGTACTTGAAAGCTAACTGCCAGGCTGGGGTATTTTTGAAGAAATTATCTTCTTGATAAAAAAGCAACAATGATTTGGGGTTTCTCAGAAGCAGCAATCAAGAGTCCATCCTGTGCTCTGGGTAATTTCTACTGAACCTAGTTACATGCTCTAAGGCTTAGAGTCTAAGTACTTCTTTTCAGGCTGCCCCATTTAGCCAAATGATGGTTAAACAGAAAGTCCTGCCACTGGACAGGTTTTTGGCCAGAACTGAGTAACAGAGATGGTTCCCAAACGTGGACAAGCAGGAACAAAAAATGGCAGGAGCTGATGGCAGCTTATCTCCTGCCTCTGATAAGGCATGGAGGAAATGGAAAGGAAGAAGCCAAGTCCTCTTCCCAGGAGGGAAAGCATGAATATTAAGGAGCTGGAACCAAACCCAGTGGGCTGAGAAGAAAGACAGCTGGGATGTAGAAGCAGAATGATGAGAGATAAGAGATGAAGACCACTGCCAGAACTGAAACAGATGTGTAGGCTAGGCAGCCAGAGCAAAGTTCAATGGGACAGGGGAGCTGGGTTAGGAGTAATGACAGCCACACTATAAAAGGTAAAGCCCAGTGTCAGGCACTAACACAAGGTCAGTTCTTAGGAGAAGGTTAGATTGCCAAAATGAACTCAGTGGGAACAGGGTTAGCTTATGGAGGACTGAATTCCAGCTTTTCTACCCCTACACAGCAGGCAAGGTGACTATGGCTGCAGTCTGTGATCTTGTTCTTCCTGGTCCTCAAATCAGAGTCCTTCCCACATCTCTAGCCCCTAAATGTATTTCAAGCATGGTTTTTCATGACCATGGATCTCAATGACACTAAGTATGCTTTTAGTAAATGGCAAAAAAAAGAATCAAATTTCAAGCAGATGAATTCTTCCCCTCTATACACATAATTAATATAAAGAAACAATATGTTTCTTAAGAGATTTTCATATATGGAAAAGAAACAATTAAAAAAACCATGTATACAGAGGGTTTGAATAAGAGTTAATCAGAAAACACCCCACCCCATCCCGCCCAAAAGCAAACACCCAAAATGAAACAGAAGACACAGTCTTACAATGGTAGAAACATATTCAACTTAGAGAAACAATAATAGTTTAATTTATTTGACTGCTGCATGACTAGAACAAGTACTGTAGGACAAATGGAAACACACTGCCCCTCACCTCAAGTTGCCTACAATCTAGAATATACACCTGAAGCAAATGGAGAACAGTTTTATAGAACACAGTATCAACAAATGAAAAATGATATAACATCAGCCCAATGTGCAAGTGCCAAAGACGTGCTAAGTAAACAGACTGAGGTGAAGTTAATCATGGAAGACTTGTGGGAGTCTAATGGTGGGTTGGTAGAAGGGAGAGAAGAGAGCATTGCAAACAGAAGGAAGGGCACCTGCAGAGGTAGGGAGACCAGGAGAGGCAAGCTGTATGTGAGGGGTGTATCAAGAAGCTAGCTTGGCTAGAAGAGAGGTTTGGGCAAATCTTAGGAATCACACCTATGAAAGAACACAGGGGAAAGCACTTCTATGCAATGGAATACTGGATCCCATTATCCAACACCTCACCTTCCTGTTAGCATCGAGGCTGGAGGCTGGAATCTGTAAGGTGACTTTATATTCTGTTCTCTTCTCCAGCTCCTCTGCAATGAAACTAGCTTCTCTCACCAGCAGATTGGCTTTCACAATCTGCTCTCTCAGTTTCATCAGGCTGTTGTTCAGCGTTGCCTCTCTTTTTCAACATGGAGAACACACAAGATGGAAAAACAGAATATTATGTAACATACCGACAAGATTAAATTCAAACTGGTAACACACTTGAAGACGGACTGGCCTGTGTAGATGAAGAACATGCTTGTGATACTATACTCTCACTCGAACCCTTTCATAAGAGATGGCATGGTATTTGTGATGGCATTTGCCTAACAGCTGGTCTTGGGTCAGAGGTACAATCCATGGCTATAGAACAAAGTAGCTTTCCTAGACTGAAGGGAGATCAAGCCTACACACACCTTCAGCCTCATCAACACTCTGGGTATGTGTACCAATCAACCAAAATCACTTTTTCTTGTTGGTTGTGATGGTATTCATTTTTTGCTCATTTGCCTTTAACAGTACTAACCTAAGCTTTACCACCTAAAATTTTTTAACAGAAAAGAGTAATTACAGTTAAACTAGTATATATGCTATATAGCACTAAGTTACTATCAAACCTGAATGATCACTAAATGGGAAAATAGAGAAGATGATATAACTTACATAGCTACCATGATCTACATGCAATAAATTAGTATGAAAAGAATAACACTGATCATTTCCAAAAAGAGAAACTGACCTATCAGAGTGCAAAGAGAAGCATATTTTCTTCTCCTTCTTCCTTTTTTGTGGGCTTGGCTAGTGTGGAATTTGTTCTGCATGACTATACATAGTTGTTGTAATGGGCTTTGTTTTTCTTGCCTTCTCAATGGGAGCGGCTGGGCCAAGGGAGGAGAGAATTTGGAAGTGAAAATAAAATACCGAATTTTTTTAAAAATGATAAACTGAGAATGCCAAATAGTGCTTAGTTATAACACTCCACTTTTATACAATTTCTGGGACAGCAAAGAGATCATGTCTGAAGTTTAAATCTTGGAACATACCACAGATGTTAATGGTAGGGGTGGGGGTTTTCCCTGAAGGCACCTCCATAAGAGTAGCTAGTCTAGGTGAGTTCCAGAGCTAAGGTTAGATTACAATCACCCTGGGCAAAAGCCTGACTCTCTGAGGAAAAAGTTGGGTTGGGAGTTTGTAGAGAGAGGGAGTATTGGGCTAAATAGTTGACAGGTAGTACAGTTCTGTTGGAGACGACCTCAAAGTTTGGCTATTACAAAGAGAAGGACTGGATATATTCTACCATCCTAATTGATAATACATGGATCAAGCCTTGCCCCTCCCCACTTTGCCCCACCAAGGACCCTAGACTTCATTATAGATGATATAGATGACCTTTTCCTAGTGCTATATCAGAATAATACTGTTATAAATATATTTGGGGCAGCTAGGCGGCACAGTGAATGGAGTACTGGTCTTGGAGTAAGGAAGACCTAAGTTCAAATCCAGTCTCAGACACTTACTAGCTGTGTGAGCCTGGGCAAGTCACTTAACCCTATTTGCCTCAGTTTCCTCACTGGTAAAATGAGCTGGAGAAGGAAATGGCAAACCACCCCAGTATCTTTGCCAAGAAAATCCCAAATGGAGACACAAAGAGTCAGACATGACTGAAACGATTCAACAACAACAAATATATTTGAAGAGACAGCTATTTCTTTCTTTTTAATAATAATCTCAGGCAATGTGGCGTAGCAATGAGAAGCCCACACACTAGTTGTAAAACCATGGGCAAATTAATCAACTCCTCAGGGCCCCAGGCAACTGTAAAAACTTTTAAGTTACAAATGAATTGCTAATCACATTGCTGGGCAAAGTTTCCCATCACTCTACACCAAGAGGTCCCCCACACTAATGAAATCACAGGTCAGGAACAGCACAAACAATATCCCAACAATGCAATTACTGGGCCAAAGGGAACGATTATTTTTGTAACTTTTACCAACCAGATTACTTTCTCAAAAGATTGTACTAGTCTGCAATTTCATCAACATCAAACAGTTTTGTGTGTTTCTCTACAATCCTACGGGACTGAGTTTCTGGCTTTTAATTATTTTTGCCAATCTGATTAGTATGACTCAAAGTTATTTTAAAATGCATCTGTATTTATTAGGGAGGTCAAACATCCTTATAAGGGAATACAAAAAATTTCTGCTTCGTCTTTGTAACCTGTTCATAAGTTTCAATTTTTATTGACTGGGGAATGGGTATTGCCTTTATTTTATATACATATATAAACAGTTCTTTATCTCCTTGTATATTTTGGATTTTTATCTGTCCAATTTCCAATATATTTCCCCATTCTGTTATTTTTATTTTTTACCATATTTCTTATATCATGTCAATATTTTATGTAATTAAGCATATCTGTCTTATTCCTATGTTTGTATAATTTTTAAAAAGTAAATCTCCCTTCCATGACAGAAAAAAATACATTATTTTCCTGTCCTACATATTTTTTTGGTTCTTTTTTGATTAAGTCTACCATTCAGCTAAAATTCATTGTGATATATGATTAAGAAATCGGTTTAAATCCATTTCTCAAGACATGGTTCAAGTTTCCCCAAATATCTTTGTTAAATAATTAATTTTTTACCCAGTTCTTGTTTTCTACAGATTTAATAAATATTAATCTTTTGGACAAATTTGTTTGGTCACATGGTAACTGTCCTATTCAGTTTATATGCCTACTACCAGCACTTCTTTGACTGGTACAAAATAATTCTGTATCTTTCACCTAGGGCATCTAGGGAGCAGTGGATACAACTTGGGACCTGGAGCCAAGAAGACCTGAGTTTAAATCTGGCCTCAGACACTTACTAGCTGTGTTACCTGGGCAGGTCACTTAACCCTGTTTGCCTTAGTTTCCTCATCTGTAAAATAAGCTGGAGAAGAAAACAGCAAACCACTCCAGTGTCTCTGCCAAGAAACCTTCCTAAACGGGGTCACCCCAAATGGGACACGCCTGAGAACGACCAAACAACAACAATCTTTCACCTACCTCTCTTCTGCCCACTGTCTTAAGCGCTGCTGAGCACTGGGAGAATGGAAGGGGAACTTGTCCATACTACTACGGTAGGGTTGTTTCTCAGGAGAAAGCCTTCTTCTTAGCTGCTCCAGCTCATGCTCATACATCAGCCTCTGACGCTCCAATGCTGACCGCTTCTCCTCTTCATGCTGTTGCTCCAAGCTGTACAAGATAGACTGCATGGGATCTAATCAAGATCAAGAAACCACAGGTAAGTACTTGAAATAGAATAAATATTTGGCTTAAAAATTCAATGACCTAAAACACATACTTCAAATATTGTTCTATAATCCTGTTACACTAGTTAACAGAACCCCTGACTAAACTATTTCCCACTCTTAATATCATGTGCATCTTTAGACAGCATACGGTGTTACAAGACTACTGTAAATGATGTCATGGGCTCAATTTCACAAAAGAATTTGGTTTCACATTTCATGAAGAAAATGTAAAACTGGTCTATTTGGAATATGAATGTTGGCAGCATTAAAAAAAATGACAACCACCAATGTCTAAAATAGCCATAAAATTGAGGCCAAAGTATCTGTGGATACATTACTAAAATTCTATACTACCTGATTATATCTTATTTCAAAATACTTCTTCATTTTCAATATTTTAAAATAATTTCTAACAATAAAAATGTTACAAAGCTCAATAACCATAACTCCCTAAGAAAAAGTAATGATTAGGAGGATATATAGAGAAGAGTAAAAAAAAAATGTTATAAAATCTTCACTGGAATGGCACAAATATTTTGTCTACAATTTTTTACCACTACATATGGATTTCACATAGCACCATAGGCACCTGAAGACAAGTGGAATAAAGTTAATACACATATTCTCAGTCTCCATCACATCATCACTTATAAAACCTTCCTCCTACTCCTTAGCAAAAAATAGTATTAGGTTTCTGTCAGAAGGAACAAGATCCAACTGTTTTCTGAGACATATATGGAAATGTTATACAATGGCATTAAAGATGATAATAATCATTAAGCAATTTAAACATGCTTGGAATCAGAAGATCCGGATATGAACCCCAATTCTGCAACCTTGTAAAAAGTAACTGATAACGCTGAACATTCCAGTGCGGGAAGACATCTCTGTGTCCATGCAAGTTTAAACCTTATGTGAAAAAGATTCCCCACTATAACATTTTTAACAAGTGGTAAGCCAAGACTTGCTGGAAGACCTCTGAGGAGGTTGAGCCCACTACATCAGAGGCAATCCATTCCACTTTGTGACAGTTCTCATGTGAACAAGTTTTTCCTGATATCAAGCCTAAATTTGATTCCTTGAAAAAATCCAAGTTCTTGTTCTTCCCAGTAAAGCCAACCATAACAAGTCTAATAGCTCTTCTACAAGGTAGACGCAGCCACTGCGTCTCCCTCCCAAATCTTCTTTCTCTTCTCCAAACTATTCTTGGTTCCTTCAACTGACATTCTTATTATGCGGACACAAGGCACTGTCCACCACCCTGGTTACCTTCTTCTGGACACTCTCCAGTCCTTCCTAAAATGTAGTACCCAGAAGTGAACACAATATGGCAGATGTGATCTGACTAGGGCAGAGTAAAATAGGATTCTCACCTCCTTGTTCCTAGAAGTTATTCCTCTCTTACTGCAACCCAAAATTATGTAAGCTTTTTTTGGCAGCCATGTCATGTTGCTGATTTATATTGAGCTATTTAGTCCATTTAAAAATCACCACATTTTTTTCAAACTACAATCTAATCACCCCTCCTCCAACATCTTGTACTTGTGGGGTTAATTTCCTGAACACAAGTATAAGGCATTTATTCATATTAAATTTCATCTTACTGAACTGAAACCAAGGTCACAATTGCTTTGATCATAACTCCGTCATTCAGGATGTTATCCATCCCTCCAAGCTTTGTGTCATCTGTAAATCAGACAAAGGTGGCTTTACCCAAACTTCCGATATAAACGCAAGAGAGTAGAGGGTCAAAGACAAAACCCAGGAGCGTTCCACAGGAGACCTCCTGATAAGACGAACACTTAAAGGATTACTCCTAATCCAGCCAATCTTGGGGAGTTCCAAATCCATCTAATGGTACTGTTACCTAAAGCATACTTCTTGGTCCTTTTCACAAGACCTCCAGACAGTTTATCAAATACTATCAAGTTGAGAAATCTGGTCAAAAAAGATTGTAGTGGTGGTCTGGGATGATCTGTTTTTACTGAAGCCACATTAGCTCTATAGAAAGATGGCTCTTTTTTCTAGATATTCACTCACTACCTCTTTAACATCAAATTCCAGAATTTTCTGAAAATCAGGAAGATATTTGCCCTTCTCCAGTTCTGCAGTACTTCCAAAATTTGTACAGTACACTAAAGTTGCAGAGTGCTTTCTAAAGACCCTTTCATTGGCTCCTCACAATAATCTGAGGCGGGAGGGTCTTAAGCCCTCAGTCAACTTGGGAACGTCCCACAGTGCGAAAGTCTGTTTCCTGGCCTGTAAAATCAGCACATCACATAAGATTGCTAAGGTCCTCCATGGCTTTGTACTGTATTCTATTACCAATGACCCAAACTTGGGGGCAGTGAAGAAATGCTGTGAACTAGAAGTTTTGGGGAAATCTGGCTTTGGGTGTAAGTTAAATCAAAGCTACAGAGAAAAGCAACACCAGCACTTCCACTCTGATGATCATTTGGAAGGCCTCTTCCATTAGTGTGACTTCTAAGAACTTCTAAGAACTCCAAAGAACCCAAGAAGAATGGGGTACTGTTTACCATTGTTCCCCAGAGCCTTCATAGTCACTTCCATTTGGGCATACTCATAATTGAAGTTAATTTCACTGGACACCTCGCTTGAAGTGTCTCCGTCTACATCCAGCTGCTCCGCACTGTTGCTGTTCTTCACAGAATGTTCTTGGTCCTCATCTTCTTCTTTATCTAGCTTCTTTTTCTTTTTAGGCAAATTGAGTCTTGAAAAAGTAAAAAAGAATGATTTTCTCAATAAAATCTTATTCGTTCATCTAACAAATACTGAATAAAGTGTCTACTGAGGGCCAGATGACAACTACAATTCACATTTATTTGGCACTTAAAATTTACAAAGTACTTTTGCCACAAAAAATACAGATGTGTATAAAACAGTCCTTGCTCTAAGGATCTGACAATCCAGTAAGATAAATAAGAGATGTGCAACACAAATAATTATGTGTTACTTATGTGAAATATGACCTTGTAATTATTACAAATTTTAAATACCAGACGAATTCATTTCTAGCTAAGATATTCAGGGAAGGCTTCATGTAATGGGCATAATTTAAGCTAGACATTGAAGAATGGCTAGGAGTTTCATAAGTAGATAGAGTAGAAAGAAAGTACAGGCAAAAGGAACATGTTTAGCCAAAGAGGTAGAAAAGTAGAGTATACTTTTGAGGAATGGCAAGCAACCAAAACTGACAAGCACATAAGGTTATTGTAGGGGAAATGATGAAAGCTAAGACTAAGGTCAAGATTTTGGAGGGCTTTTAATTCATTAAAAGTCAACCTAAGAGATTAAGGTTTGATTAGAATGGATAGAAACACAGGCTTGTAGTCAGAAAGAAATGGGTTAGAATCCCACCCTACATACTTTCTAGCAGTGTGACCCTTATAAGCCACTAGAGTGTGGTTGTGGAAAAGAGTGTTAGATTTGGAGTCAGGGGAGGGAAATTAAAATCTATTCTCTGTACTTCCTACTTGTGTGACCTTAGATAAGTCTCTCAAACTCTCTGCACTTCAGTTCTTCACCTGTAAAATGCGGGGGTTGGACTAGATGACCTTTAAGGTGCCTTTTAGCAATAAATCTATGTTCTTTTGTCTGCAAACCTGTTTTCTCATCTGTACATGGAAATAATGAAGACATTTACGCCACAAGGTTGTTATAAGGACAAGATGAAATGTTAAATGTAAAAAACATTACCTAACAAAGCACTATATAAATTTTAGCTCACACTTTTATTAGACAAGGGAAAGTCACCTGATGAACAGGTAAATTATATTATCAAATTGTTACTTTAGAAAGATTAATTTGATAGGATGGACTGAAGGGGTAACATCTCTACCCAAAGAGCCTGAATTATTGCAATAGTTTAGGCATGAGGTGAGATAAGGCTCCTCAACTTGAGGACAAATGTAAGAGATGTTCCTATGGAAGAATCAACAGGTCTTGATCATTGAATGGAGTGGAGAAAGAGGAGACAAAGATGATTCTAAAGTTTTAACTTATTGAAAGAAATATTAGTCAAGAGGAGAACTTGGATTTGAGAGGAAAACGACAGATTTGGCTTTTAAATATGTTGAATTTGAGAAGGAAGAAAGACAGGTAGAGCAGAGAGTCGGAAATGTAGGACTGGAGCTTGAAAGAGAAGTTAAGGCTGGAGATAGATATTAACATACTGAGTAAGAGTCAAGATCTCAAAAGATCTCTAAAGCCTGTACAATGCATTAAAATCTTAACAAGATAAAATTTTAGAGGGACAAATGAAGAATCTCAACTAAGTCAATCAGCACTTATTAAGTGCTTACTATGTGTTAAGCACTGTGCTAAGTATTGGAATTAGAAAGACAAAAACATGGTCCCTGCCCTCAAGAATCTCACATTCTGCTGGAGAGTTAACATATGAATATATATACAAAATATATACAGAATAGATCAAAGTTAATTTCAGAGAGATGGCACTAAAAATGGAGTGAGGGGCACCAGAAAAGGCCTCCTGCAGCAATACAGATGAGTCTTGATGGAAGCCAGATAAAATGAGACAGCATTCCAGGGACAGGTATCCCACAAGGAACATGGGAGTCATCAAGTTAGGGGTCATGGTTCAAGCTCTAAGTGAATATAATATAGTCACAAGGGAGAGAAACAACAAGAGCTAAAGTCAGAGTCATAACAGTTTGAAAAGACAACACAAAGAAAATTTCTTTATATAATTTCCACTCCAGATCCAGGCTCTTCTTGTACCTTTTAGGAAAAGGAATCAGTCTACAACCAGAGGCTCCCCAGTAGTTTCAATAACACAATTAATTTGATGCCTGAAGAAAGGCAATATGCTTAAGAGTACCAGCTGGAATGAAGGAAAGAAGACTCTCAGGAGAAAGTTCAGTTCTAATTTTCTGGAACGATAGAATTTGACAAATGAAAATAACTTTAAGTCCCCCACATCGTATCAATGATGAAACTATGGCCCAGACAAGTTGTCTGTCCATGTCATAGAGCTTCCTTTTTCACTAATTGTCATACAATCTTGGATGATTTATGGTTCTTTAGTAAAATATACTTAGAATTTCACTTTAAACATGTCTTGCCTAGTAGATACCAGGACAGTCATATAGTCAGAAAATACATTTATTATTCCCCTCTACCTTCTTTTGAATCATCCAAACAAATCATTTGGGGAAAAGAGAAAGGGAGATGAGTAAATTCACTATCTTTCCTGACTGTCCTACCAGTGTTCTGATTGTACTATCCATTTTATATTTGCCTAGAAATATGTTTCGCATGATTTCACATGTATAATTGATATCATATTGCTTGCCTGCTCAATGGGTGGTGGAGGGACTGGAAAGAGAGAATTTGAAACTCAAAAATTTAAAAAAATTTAATGCTAAAAAATTAAATAATGAACATGAAAAAGATAAATCAATGATGATAAAATTCTAAGAAAAATACCTGCCTAGCTATATAATCTGTGATTTTTAATTTCATTGAGTTTAAATTCCATATCTCCCCATGGATCAGACATAATGCTCTGTACACATCAGGCCCTTAATAAAAGCTTAGTATTGCTGTATTAAGCTGAGTCAAATTCTACATCTATATTTTTTACCTTCAGATTAAGATGCTCAATAGTTAGGGGTCCTTCCCAGAGGACTAATGTACAATGTCAAAACTCCTGTACCTGAAAAAGTGGTTGTTTCCCCATAAGATTCGGTCTCCATGGTGTAACTGTATAGGATTTGCAACAGAAGAACCATTTACAAATGTCCTGTGTGGAGAAAAGATTAAATTTACAAGTGAATTATGATAGCTGCCATTTATATTTTAATGTTAAAACATTACTAGAGATATAGGCTATAGCAATTTTTAAAAATTCACATACACACATACACACCTCATTTATAGGAACCATAAAATCTACCAATCTCTATAATGATTTGGAAGTTTATAACATTAAGTTTACTACTAGTAGATTTAAAAGTCCCATATACACGAATACTTTGTATTAAATATTTAAAAAATTAAATAGGACAAAAATCATTACTAAAATAATTAATCAATAAATAAACATTTATGAAGCACCTACAACATGCTAGGCAATAAATAATACTTTGTATTAAATATTTAAAAAATTAAATAAGACAAAAATCATTACTAAAATAATTAATCAATAAATAAACATTTATTAAGCACCTACAACGTGCTAAGTACAGTGATAATATTTAATTTAAGTACCAGATCAATCAACCGTGTCCAGAGTAATGGTTTCTAAAGTGGAGTATCCAAGATAAATCATGGAAGTAGTAGAAGAAAATATTAGAACTAAGGAGAATACAGCATTGCTGATCAATCACTTCATCAAACACTTATTAAGCTCCTACTAAGTGCCAGGAACTGTGCACACTTGCAGCCACAACCTGCCACTGCTGATGTCCTTCCCTTGACCTGCACCCAGTGTGAACTGGATAGACCACCACCTTTCCATGCAACATAGGCAGGCAATCAATCGTTACCAGCAAGGTCTTTATAGGCTTCTGTCCTCTCTCCCCCATCCTTCTGACCTCTAGTTCAAGTATAGTATAGATTACGTAAAAGGGAATAATATGGAACGAGGCTGGAAAAGGCTAATACAGCCAGCTTGTGGAGGGTGTAAGCTAAGGTCAGGAGTTTATATTTTATCCTACGTGGAAAAAGGGAGACCTGGAAGTCTACTGATCAGGGAAATAACATGATGAGACCTAGGGTTTAAGAAGAGATTTCTGGCTCCTGTGTATGTAGATGATGGTGTGGAGAGGAAAAAGAAGAGACTAGAAGTAGGGTAACAAATTGGGAGGTCATTACAACAGTAGAGGTAAGAAGTAGTAGCCATGTGAATGGACAGAAGGAAACAGATGTGAATGACACAGAAGCCTGAGCAACCCAAACAAAGGGAGGGTAACAGGAAAAGAAAAAGATGAATCAAGGAGCAGAGCCCTCAACAGAGAGAGGGGAGTCTAGAGGTGAAGGTGGGGGGTTGAATTTAAGAACAAAGATGCCAAGTTCCCTTTCTGGATATGTCAAGGTTATCACCCATGCCAATGGGACATACAGGTGAAGATGTCTAGCAGGTGGCTGGTGTTGTGAAACTGGAGTACAGATGAGAGATTATGGCTTACTTAATATGCAGTTTGGGGAGTCATCTGAACAGAAGTGGTAACTGAGTCCACAGAGGAGAATGTAAAATGAAAAGATGGCCCAGGAGATAATTTTGAGTGATACCAAAACTTAAGGAGAAGTGATGGATGATGAACTAGCAACACACTGAGAAGAAATTGTCACATGGGTAGAAGGAGAACCAGGTGAGAGCTGTGCCACAGATGCCAAGAAAGGAGAGAATACATAAGCGAATATGGTGACCAAGTATCAAAAGCTAAAGAGAGGTTAAGTAAAATGAGGACTGAGAAAAGGCCACTGATTTTAGGAGTCAAATGATAGCTGGTATAGAGACAGAAGTTTCAGCAAAGTGCTAAGATTGGGAATTGACTAAAAACATCTTAGAGTGGTTAGACAGTGAGAAGAAGTAGCAGCAAGTACAGACAACTCTTTCCAGAGATTAGCAATCAAAGGAAAGATAGAGGATAACTTAATTGAAAAGTCTTTTAAGTATAGAGAAAACCCATACATAATTGTAAGCCATAGAAAAAGAGCCAGTAGAAAGGGAGACAGAAGATGAGAGAGAGAAAAAGAATAGTAAATGGGACAAACTTCAGAAAAGGAGAAATCAAAGGCACAAGTAGAAGGTGGGCCTGGGCAAGGCAAATCTCTTCCTCAGAGACTATACAAAAGGAGGAAAGAGATGTAGAGAGGTTTTAGAGTACGGATTTTATCTCAGATGGACTCATATTTCTCAATAAACTAGGATGCTAGAGCATCTGCTGGTAATAGGGACTCAAAGAAATAAAGTTATGAAAAATCACTTTGAGGATGGTGACAGAATCTATTATCAGGCAAAAATAAAATGACAGTAAGGATCTAGTTAATAGATAACAAATTTGTAGTTAGGGTTCAAGTCAATTGAATAAACATTTATTAAGTGCCTAATGTATTCAAGGTACAGTGCTAGGGAAGGGAGATAAAATACAAAAATATAACAGTCTCTCTCCTCAAAGTGTTACATGATCCTGGGAGATTACAGATGTACAGAGTTAAGTAAATACAAAATATATACAAGGCAAATGCAAAGTAATTTTAGGGGGAAGGTACAGTAGGAACAACTGGGGAGATCAGCAAAGGCCTTCTATAGGAGGTGACATTTGAGCTGAGCCTTTAATAAATCTAGAGATTCTAAGAGTCAGAGGGAAGAGAAAGAAGGAGAGAGACACACGGCTGTATATGAATAAAGTAGGAAATGGGCCAGTTCGGATAGAAGACAGAGAGAATGAGGGATGCTAATGTGGAATAAATCTAGAAAGACAAGTTGGAGTCAGATTGTTAAGGCCTTAAGTGCCAAACAGAAGAGTCTATGTTTTCATCCTACAGGAAATAGAGAGCAAGTGAAGCTTCTTGAGTGGAGAAGGGATGTGGTCAGACACTGTTGCATGACTCCCTCCAGATACATTCAGCAGTATAGGCAAAGAAGTGGAGAAAGGAATGCTGGTGAGTGATCAAAGGCAAGAAAGGCAAAAGGACAAAGGGGGAAGGGGTTCAAGAGTAGAGAACACTGTCATGCCAAACTGGTAACCATGGGGTCAAGAGCGTGAAGATAATTTACCAAGTAAGGCTCAAGCACGATTAATGGTCAAGGAAAACATATGGCCAGGACAAAGAATAGGAGTAAGAGGAGTGAGTAAGCAGGGGAGACAGAAGCCTAGAAGGGAAATTTCAGAGTTAAAGATAATGGAGGCAGCAGTTATGGATGATTATAAGACCTAAGGTATGACCACTTCTATGACTGGCTAGGTTTGAGTGAAGATGTGAACAGTAGACACTGAGGACACCAAGAAGCTAAGAGGCCATGGGATTCTAAGTGATATCTAAATTTATTGTAATGCCATGAAGTGTCTTCAAGGAGAGTGACCTTGGCCAGTCCATGGAAACCTACTGCAATAACAACCTGGTTTGGTGAGATGGATGAAGTGAACCTTAAAAGAGGAAAGCAACTGAATGATCACAGCAGGAGGATAAGGAAGGTGCAGAGGGGAGCAAGAAGACTTATTCTTCTTGGATTTGGGGGATATGAAAGGAATAACTTATAGTGAAGAGGGTGGCCAAGTGTCATCTGGAGACAGCCAGGTTCTCAAGAGTGCCACTAGCTGGAAAGAGGGTAATTTGAAGTGATCTATTTGGGACAAGTTAGAATTTATTATTAGAGCAAGGGTTCCAGAGAGCATAATAAAATAAGAGAACAAAGGAGGATTTGGACTCAGGAGGAGCAAAGTTGAGGTAGCCAGGGATAAATGTTAGAATAAATACTCAGAGGAAAGGATTTACCTCAGCAGACAATCACTTTGAATTACAGGGATGAATGGAACAAGGTGGGGGAAGTTTGTCTTCCACTGGATGGGCAAGAAACTATACTGCCTTATGATAAATAAGCATGTATGTCTGAAGCAGTGGCAGCTGCTCCCTGTGCTTATCACCCTGGAGAAGTGCCAGTGGGGGGGGACTGCAGGTACAGCAGGGAGGTGTAGCTATGAATCTGAGTCAGTCAGTAAATATGTGGTGAGAGGTATACACCTTCACTGGCTCAAGGAGCTCCTGGTGAGGAGACTTCATCTGCCAATGTCAATCAGCAACTCTTCTAGAACTTGTAGTCTCTAGAGTGGCCGGGGGCTCTTCAGGGTCACAGAGTCTGCACATGTCCTAGGCAGGCTTTGCATGAACTAAGATCGTCCTGTCTGAAGTCTCTTCTCTATGCACGGTTCCATGCTGTATTTCTCAAGGATTAAAAACTTCATCTTTAATGGTCATGGTGTCATTTAAACTTGCTAAGTCTCAGGTAACTCACCCAGGGGAGACTCAAGATTATACTGGCAGAAGGTAATTCACATCAAATTCTTTTATTTCTTGCTTCAGACCTTTTCTCATATTTCAAATGAAGAAGTATGTACCGAATGCCTACTTTGCACAAAGAACTTATGTAAGTTGTGGTTATGTACATTTCACTAATTAATGGTGGGGGTTTTTTAAAGTGGCTTAATTTAGTTTCTTAATTCACTGTGCCTTACAAAGGGACTTAAAAAAAAAAGGTCTTAGTCATCAAATAAAGTAGTGCCATCTAATGGTGAAATTCTGGAACTTTTTTTTTTTAAGTTAGAGGTCTGAAAAAAACTCTAGAGAGTATAACACCGAGCTAGTCCAACCCTGTATACTTCAGACGTCATAAACACACACTAATTGGAATTTCTACTGCATCCAAGCAGAAAATACACATAATACATTTTTCAATATAAAAACTTCAAAGGGGAAAGTACTATTCGAAGCAAAACGAACTGAAAAAACTGCTCAAGACACTAGAGTTATGTCAGCACTTACAGATTCTGGTGAACATAGTAATTTTCTAGTTTATAATATACCAAATAACCATGTAACATATTAACTTAAGCAGTTTAATAATTATTTTGTTAGAGATAACACTGCTATATGACACCTTAGGATCAAATGAAGTGTAGTCTCCTCCCGAGAAGATGTGGCTAATCAGAGGACATTACAAATATTTTAATGAGATAAAGATAGATCACAGGTTTAGCAAGTTAATTTAAACCTCAACATTACTCAGAATTTATGGCAATTAAGAAGTCTTTTAGACTCAAGAGTACTAGTAGCAGGGTTCCACTTGTCTAGAAAGTCTGACATATTATAAAGAAGCATGTAATAGATTCACATGAGGTGATGAAAATGCAAAAAAAGCAATACAAATTACTACATCAATATAAATAGGAAAAAAGGAAGGGTGGAAGGGGGGGAGAGGGAGAGAGAAACTGACTAAAGTATATGCATAATAAGCAAACCCAGGAAAAAAGAGATATAAGGACACATCTCCTTCCCTCCTTCTTTTGCAAAGGTGGTATATTGTGTGTGTGTGTGTGTATGTGTAAAACACTGCATGCTAGCTTTGCCAAACTGGATTTTTTCTCTTTATTTTCTACTCTTTGTTATAAGGGATAGCATTCTGTGTAGTAGGAAATGAAAGTGATTTAAAACAAGACATATTAATCACAGATCACAGATTTAAAGTTAGAAGGGTTCTTGAGACCATCTAATCTAATCCTCTCATTTTAAAGATTAGGAAACTGAGGCCCAGAGAAGTTGCTAACTTCTTGAGCTAAGTCATGCCAGTAGTTGTTGGCAGAGATGGGATTATAATTCTAGTCCTTTGTTTCCACTGGTTCAATAAAAATTAAAATAAAAAAAGCAAAAAGGGAATCAAGAAAATCCATCTCAGATCACTGATGGATTTCAGTTCAGATAACTGAAAAATCTCTTTGAATAAATCTATAATTAACTTCAATAAAAGGATTAAAGAACTATTGGAGCAGTTCACAAAAGGAGATACTTCCATAGTAACTGTGCATAACTAAAAAACAATCTAAAACACTAAAATTAGAACAAAAATAAATACTCATATAACATTTATGCCCCACTTGCTTCAGAAAGAACATAAAATAACATATATTTTCCAATGGTACAAAGATTCAACTTAAAACATGAAAAAAAAAACAAAAAAACAGGGCCCATCCAAAGAAGTGAGTACCTTCAGCCACCACAATTGGGTTAAGTAATAATTTTATCATTCAGAAAAATAAACATAAAATAGCAGTACCATCTTGAACTTCCATCCTGCAAGTACCTGTCTTTCAAATAAGCCAGTGACTTAAAAAAATAAAAAGCAAAAGCACATCAAATCTCCTTGCTACTGACTGTCTCCCAATAAGTAAGAAATGTAATACTAATAATGGCCATTATTGTAGCACACGATACCTGGTGTTTTTCTGAGGAGTTAGAACAACTTGGCCCTCTGGTGTGATGTCTATAATACAATGTTCAGGCAGAATTCCCATTCCACAGAGCTGGATATCTTGGGAATTAGCTGATCCTATTAAAGTATGTTCCTGAGGAAGAATGAGATTTGTTGATTAGTACAGAACAGAAATTGTAATTTATATAAAATCAAATCTCCTTTCATTCTGCATCCATTATTTTGGCTGCATTTTTTTTTCTTTGGACCAGACCTAAGATCTCATTGATTGAAGGGATATATAAAGTCCTTACCAGTAGAGATGGGCAACTGCTGTGAGGCACTGAGAGCTTAAGTAAAGAGCTCACGGTCACACCACGAGCACGTGTGAGAGAGAAGACTTGAACAACATGGAAAGAGCACTCACTGGCTCTGGAGTCAGAGACTTGGGTTTGTATGTTGCCTCTGGTACTCGTGACCTCCAACAGGTCACTTAACTGCTCTGAGTCTGTTTCCACATCTGTAAAATAAGGGGTTTGAACTATGCAGGTGGTCTCTGGGGACTCTTCCAGGTCTCTATGATTCCAAGGTTGACTCTACCTAATTCTATTACATCAAGGCTACCATTTGTTGGCTGAAATCTTTAAAGCAAAGAGACATATTTGGGGTGGGGATGGGGGTGGGAGATTCTTTCTATAAGATATATTCTATAGCTTAGGTTTCCTTTAAAAAATTATCATCATCATGAAAATTTAGTTGAAGGATAGATAACCTTTTAAACTGAAAGTTATATCTCAAAGTTATATATTACATAATAGCCACCAAACCATGAAAAGTCAACTACAAAAATTTTTTTAAAAAATTAAAAAAAACAACAACTCTGTATCATTACATGAAATGACTAATATTGGTTCCAGAAGACTCATGATGAAATATCTCATAAAAACGGGTAATAACAAATGATACATATGTTGGAAGGCATGGTTGCTGTGTTGGTTCTAAACGCTTTTTTTCCATTGTTGTTACAAAGCTCAAGGGGAAAGGAATGGGGGGGGGGTAATTAGCAATTAAACTTTTTCTTTAAAAACCATCCTTGTAGTAAAATGATTACCAAATCATCAAATTCAAAAAATCTGACTTCATCTCTCACTTTCAAATATACCCACAATTTCCTTTCCTCAAAGCCCCAGTTCCTCCATATAAACATCCCTGTCATTCTCTCTCTCAGCAGATAACCTCACCTCAGGATCTGGGATCTCCCTTCTACCAGCCTAGATGGAAAGCCATCCAAGCCTTCTTATTCTGCATGATCCTATGATCCTTCCTTCCATAAATCCCTTACAGAGGAACCAGACAACAAGTCCAGATGAAATTCTTTCAGCTCTTTCAACATATGCCAGATACCAATAAAGTACTGTGATGAGATCACCATGGACCAGAACCAGGGAGCAAAGACTCAAGTCTCCTGGTGGCCTCTGCCTGTACTAACATTATTTCTGGACCACCTCAGGATATAAAAGAGACACCCACTAGGAGTCCTTTAGACCAAGGGTTATCTAGAGGCCCCGGAAGTCATTACAACCTCCCCTGCTAAGGAGGTCTTCTCTACCCATCTAAATGCTACCTCCTGTTTGAAAATCCTATGTAAAAGTAAGATGTAAATAAGTAAATCTCTGTTTTGTTGACGGTTGAATAACCAAGAAGGATCAAACCACAGTAACTCAAGGGCCAGACAGAATCAGGCTCAGCCTATTCTACGTACTCAATCTGCACAGTTCTAGCTCTTGCTATATGATCGGCCTCTTTCCTTTTGTAGTCATACATTTCCTTTATGACGACTTTTTGGATTCACGAAATCTACCTCATACTTGGCCAAAAAGACAGACTCATGTGAATTCCCTCAAACAAACTCATTTCAAATGAACAAAAAATGCATTTATTAGGAGCTTATTATGAACAGCAATAACAAAACAGCTGAAATTAGATCCTGCAAAACAATGACTGAATTTGACCCCAAAAAAGAAATATCAAAAAATACCTCAATCCCTCCATCTTTTGCAGAGGTTGAAGTCTGTGGGTATAAAAAACTGCACAAAACATCAAACTTTTGTGAAATGTAAGTTATTTATGGAAATTTTTTCTTTCTTCCAGAGGGATTGTATGACCCCTTCAACCACCTTCTTCCTTTTGTGGCCCAACTCTTTGATTATGAGATCCAGAACACTGATTTTACTTCCCAGCCATCCATTACCCCTAGAGTATGGCCACTCTCTTTTTTTGAGTTCTGTGAGCCCACTTTTCTGGTAGTTTGGCCTCTGTTTCTTTGGTGTGCTTCTCTCTTTCCTCTCACCCTCTAACTGGGGGTATCATTCCAGGCTATGACTATAGTCCTCTACCCTTTTCTCCATAAATTCATTACAAAAAGAACTACATATACACTCCCATTACTTCATATAATAGCTCCATGCAGAACTCTAAAATTCTCTACATCTAGCTGTCTTACCTGAGGCACAATGCTATATTTCTAACTTTCTACAGGGTATTTCTACTTTAATCTTCCACTGTCACTTCAAATGAAATATGCTCAAATATAAAAATCATCTCCACTCTTACCCCCACCAAGAAAAGTTAATCTCTCCTGCTAACCCCTTTCTATTTCTATCAATGTTGCTACCACTCTTCTAGTCCCCCAAGCTAAAAATTCTGAAATTATCTTCCCTCTCCCTTGACCCCAAAATTCCATTAGTCACTCAGTAGTTCGTTCCTTTTCCTAAAGGCACTAAATGAATACATGAAAAAGCCAGTGCCAAGCACCAGGAAAAGAACTGGGGATATAAATACAATAGACAGACAGCTGCAGCCTAAAAGAGCTTATCTTCTAATAGGAAGAGCCAACACAAGAAAGTGGTCACCAGAGAAGGGTTAATGAATCATTGGAGCAGCCCAAAGACATACCCCATCCTGAGACAATGGTAGTGGTGGAGGTAGAAGGTCCAAAAATGGGGAGCCTAAAGACGAGAACATATGTCTGGTGGGAGTGAAGACTGAAGTTGTTTAGCTCTACCCAGGCAAGCAGGTGGTGCATTTGACTTGAAGTCAGGAAGACCCCAGAAACTAGCAGGGTGACCCTGGGCAAGTCATTTAATCTTTATCAGCTTCTATTTCTCCATCTGTGAAATGAGGTAATTGGACTGAATGACCTCTTAAGTCCCATTTCTAGCTCTAAGTCACCGATCCTACAATCCATTTCGAAGGTGAGGCAGCAGCAGTCCTATATCTAAATGCCTTTAGAATTCCTCCATAATCTGATCTTGCCTTATGCAATTAATTTTATTTCCCATACTTCCCCATACCAATGCTCTCTCCTCCCTGTTCCCAGAACATAGTACTATTTGTAAAGTGCTTAACACAGTGTCTGTCACATAACAGGCATTTAATAAATGTTTGGTCCCTTTCTCCCTCACTCAAATCTTAATTCTTTGCTCTTACTCATCCTGCTTCCCCTGTTTAAAATAACCTCTCTTCCCCTCAATCTAAACTTTATTTATCCTTAAAGATTCACTTTAAATCCTACTTTCTTCGACACTTTCTCCAGTCTCCAATCATTAAAGAGTCATTCAATCAACAAGCATTTACTGCTCTCTCTCTCTCTCCGTTCTAAACACATCTAAATCAAGAAGCATTTATGTACCAAGCACAATGCTAAGTGCTGGTGATACAAAGAAAGGCAAAAATAGTTCTTGCCCTCAAGGAGTCACAAAGTAATGGAGAGAGACAACTCACAAACAACTACGCATATCCAAGAGAGGTAATCTCATAGGAAAGGCATAAGCATTGTGGTTTTGCCCTTCCTTCTCAAAGAGGACCAAGACATCAAGAAAATGATGCCATGACTTGCAGGTGAACTGGTTTTAGTACAAAAGTCACTAGTCTCATTCTCTCCTCCATAGGGATGGGAAAAGTTTCTTACAGAAGGTGAGATTTTATCTGAGACTTGAAAGAAGCCAGGAAGAGGGACCAGGAGGGAGAAATTTCCAGGCATGGAGGACAGCCAGCGAAAAGAACATGGGAATATCCTGTTCAGGGAACAGCAAGGAGACCAGTGTCATTGGAATGCTTGAAGAGTCTATGCTGGGGCTGTGGGTAGAGGGAGAAAATCAAATATAAGAAGACTATAAAGGTAGGAAAAGGCTAGGGTGTGAAGGACTTTAATAGTCAAATGGGATTTCATATTTGTTCTTGGAGGTAAAAGGGTATGTCGAGAGCTTACTGAATAGGGGAGTTTCGAGGTCAGACATGCCACTTCAGGAAGATCATTTTGATAGCTGAATGGAGGATGGAATGGAGTTGGGAGAGATTTGAGGCAGGGAGACCAACCAGCAGACTACTGCAATCACCCAAGCATAAGGGAATGGCGGCCTGCACCAGCGTGCAAAAGTAAGTAGAAAAGACTTAGCAACACATTGAATTATGGGAAACAAGGACTTAAGGGTCACATCTAGGTTACAAGCCTGGGTCACTGAAGGGATGACAGTGATACTTTACAACAGTGATGTCAAACTCCAATAAAAACAGTATGCATGTTGACTTAGAAACCACAAATTTACATTATGTTTTATTGTATTTTTATTTATTTTGTTAAACATTCCCCAATTACATTTTAATTTGGTTCAGACCACACTGGAGAATCAAGACTGACAGCTCTGCTCTATAATCCCCAGACTGTAATGGGAGAGTTGGGAAGAGGGGAGAGAGTTTTTTTGTTGGTTTTTTTTTTTTTTTTGGTGGGGGGAGATAATGATTTCTGTTTTTGACTTGGTGACTTTAAGATGCTGCAAGACACCTACTTTGATACATCAAATAGGCGGGTGAAAATGCAACACTAAAGGCCAGAGGTTAGAGCTAGATAAGAAGATCTAAGAATTATCTGCATAGAGATGACAACTGTGATCTGATGAGATCGCCAAGCCAAAAAGTATAGGAGGAACAAAAGGGCCTAGAGACACACTTGAGGGACACCCCTAGTCAGAGGGCATGACCTGGATGAAGAGCCAGCAAAGCAGATGAAAAAAGATCAGACAAGTAGGAGGATAACCAGGAGAGAGCAGTGTCAGAGAAACCTGGAGAATCAGAGAAGAGGGTGATCAACAGTGC